AATGTAGAACACAACAAATTCAGACAAAAGTAACACATTTTTTAAAAGCATGAAAATACTAAGATGCTAAAACAATGGTAGATTAAATAGCTAGGCACAAATGTGTCTTGACCCCTTTTCCAAAAGTTGGGCAGTTGGGGGCTAGTCAAAGAGAATGCATTCCACAGTTTGGAAGCAACACAGAAGAAAGCCTTTCCTGGTGTGTTCAGTGACAAACAGACAACTTCCAAGCACAGAGCCCTTGAAAGGCCTCCCCTACAGTACTTAAAAACTGAACAGGTTCATGATAAGCAAGGCACCTCCTTAGGTAACCTGACCCTGTTTGTCCTAGGACTTTAAGGGTGAAAGATGGAAAATGCAATGGAGTAAAGGAAGCCACTGTGGCATGGTGGTTACGTGGCTGGACTGGGACTCAGGACATCCAGGCTCTAATCCCCGCTCATCCACCAAGCTCACTGAATGACTTCAGGCCGGTCATGGCCCTCACAGGGTTATTGTTGTAGTGGGGATAAAATAGAGAAGGTGAGAACCTCACAAGGCATCTTGGGTTCCTTTCAAGAAGAAGAACTGCCGGGTATAAATGTAATGTACTAGCAAGATTGCGAGAGAGAAATATTTTACTCCAGTGCATTTCAGGACCGTACAGGTCCTTTCTCAGGGCATTATTTACAGAAAGCAGGCAGTGTCACATGTGGCTGTGCTAATTCCTCAATCTCCTTTGCTCCCACCTACTCCTTTTCCTGAAAGGACTAGCTTGGATTCTGTTGCTATCTCTACCCCAATGGTCATAGCTTGAACTGTTGCACCCAACCCACCTCCATTTCTCCATTCCTTAAGATACAGCTCCAGAACCCTGGTCAAGCCACATTAAAGCCACCTCCTAAAAATACAGAACCACCCAGGCAGTGCTAACAACTTCCCACGGGGAAGGAAGCAAACTGCACCAAAAAGCTGGAGCGAAAGGCAGCATGTCTCTGTCACCCTAGAGCGAGACTCGTAGGCTCCCAGGTGATGGTCCAAAGGCACTGGGCCTGATTTATTCATTGCCAGGCCTCTCCTGGAAGCAGGACTCTTCTGGGCAGCAGGATCTCCTGCAGCAGGCAGGGCGCATTCATATACTATCAAACCATGGCCAATGTGTTTAGGAGGGAGGGTGCCGTGTCAGGCTTTCAGCAGCCATATTACGGCGGAGCTTTCTCTCATTTTGTCCTGACAGATTAGGCTGAGAGGGAGTGCCCGGCCCAAAGTCGCCAAGTGGGACTGAAGCGAGCCGAACACGCAAACCACCACTCCATGCGCATGATTTTTTAGACGGCATGTTACTTCACTGACTTAATCCAATAATCTTTGTCAGGTAGCCAATACTGCGTCATCTGCACATTAAATGTTGACTCAGTTAGTAAACGAGTACGCCGTTTGTCCTTCCAGAAACTCCAAGTGGCGCGCTGATTTCTCTCCTCCCTCCAGAGAGGGGCAGGGTGGGGCGGGCGGCCTTGCAGCCTGGCCCCGAGTGGCTTTACTCAGAAGCAAGCCCGGCGGCGCGCACAGGGCTTGTTCCCACGCAATGGCGCACAAGATTTAATAATAATAATAATAATAATAATAATAATAATAATAATAATAATAATAATTCCGACTGCAGCTGTGCAACCCCCGCCCGTGTCTTTTCGTGCGAGCAAAGCGTGCTGCGCTCCGTGGGACGTCTTGCTCAATACGCCAGGCTCGGGGCGAGGCAAAACAAAAAGGCGAAGAGGTGCCTCCCTCTTGATCCGTATTAAGCCTCCCGCCCCGGCAGGTTCCCCATCACCAGCCCGAAGCAATCGATGCCCACGCACACCCACCCTGGCTCCGGCCATGCGCTCACGTGGCCCAGTGGGAAGGCTTTAGCTTACAGGGGAATCGCTTTGCAAGAGAGTTTTTGGCCTCGCTCCGATCACATGGTGGGAAGCGGAAAACAAAGGCGCCGCAAAGCCCTCCCCGTTGAACGATAGAGGAGTAATTGTGGAGAAGGGAGGCGGGCTGAGAAGCAGGGGAAATCTGGGAATGCGCCTCCGTGCTTTCTGGGGAACCGCCGTGGCGATGGAGGAAAGGCGGTGAGCGGCGCGGCCGAACGGACACAAAAGATCCGGATCGGCTGGCGCAGGAAGCCATTGCAGGAATCCCGGTGAGAGCCGCTTGCAGGTCGGGCAGCGGAGTCCCACCCAAGGCTCCTTGCGGAGCGGGCCTCGAAGAAAGTCGACTGGTAGATCTCTGGGTAATTGCAGGCTCCCAGTTACGATTGGCAGGAACAAATGAATAGCTTGGTAGGGATATTAGTGGTAGTAACCAGGAGCGCAACGACTGTGAATGGCACTCATTTCTGGTGCTTGGGAGCCAGTGTGATGTAGTGGTTAAGAGCGTGGGATTGGGACTAAGGCAATCTGGGCTCTAGTCCCTGCTCTGCCATGGAGCCAACTGGGTGACTTTGGGCCAGTCACAGACTCTCAGCCCAGCCTACCTCACAGGGTTGTTGTTGCATGGATAAGATTGACAGGAGGAGGAGAATGATGTAAGCTGCCTTGGGTTCCTTAAAAAGGGGAAAGCGGAATATAAATCTAATAAATAAATGCTTAGAACAAATTCCTGGGTGGGGAATTCTTTAATTCTGAGGGCATGTCTTTTGTTCCTGCCTCCTTTTGGGGTTCTAGCAAAGAACAAAGTTGCATTGCAAGCGTAAAATTTGCCTGGCTGTGTTGCGGGACACAATGCAGTCGCCATCACAGCCAATCCTGCGCCAGTGTAGAAGATAAAGGTTTGGAAGAGGACGGAGGAGACCCTGGTACAGATGCTTATGTGGTCATAACACTTGATTGCTTGACCTTGACCTAAGCTGAGGATTGCAGAGCTGTTGTGGAAGAAAGCTAGAGCGAGCAGAATAAAGCTAGCCACTTTGATCAGTATCTTCATGTTGGCTGGGGCTGATGGGAATTGCAATCCAAGAAAATCTGGGGAACCCCCCCCCCGCACTGGAAAGGGTAGCCTAGTAAACAGCTCTGAACAGTTTAGCATTTGCACCAGCAGAACCTAGGTGAAAGTGTGTGCTCCTGCGTTTTTACAGTTACATTACATTGCATTTATCCCCACCTTTCTTCCTTTTGCAAGGAACCCGGGACTGCTTGCATGTTATGCTCATAAAAGCAGCCCTGTGAGGGGCGTTGGGCTGAGAGCCTGTGACTGGTCCAAAATTACCCAGTGAGCTTCATGACCAGTACTGGAGGAAAAGATGCATGAAAGGGTCAAAGTGTTGGCTGAGAAAACACAAATAATTGTGTTGTTTTGGGCAGTACAACTTGGGATATCTCTAGAACCTGCCTGTGTCCCTTCCTGCCACCCCAGGAGGCCCAAATCCTTGAAGCATCTTTCTTGTTTGCTTTTCCTGTTCAGAAACTTCGGATGTGATGGAGCACGAGAGAGATCAGCAAGTTTTAGATCTCCAGGGATCGGAGAGCACCAGGATGGCCCCAGGTCCCAGCTCACGTAAGGGACAGATGCCTAGAGAATCCGTGATTGTGGAGGAGTATTTATTTTACAGGAACTGTGTGGGTGAATGCAGTGTTACATGGGTTGTATGTATGTATGAATGGGTTCATAGAGAAACCATGAGAATAGTCAGGCATATGGTTTATGTGGCATCTGTCACACACTTTCAGCCAGTTCACCTGCATGTAAGAAAAATCCTGTACTTGCTTCCATGCCTTGTTGCAAGGCACATGTTCTGCAACTGGAAGGGTCCAGGGTCCTGGCATCTCCAGGCAGGACTGGGAAGGACCCCTGAATGGATGCTGTAATATAATGGCCAATCTCTGTTGTTCGTATTGAGCTACATGGACCAAAGTTAGAGCTGGACTTATGGCAGAATGGGAATTTGAGCCCTGCATACAGGGATTTGAAAAGTAACATCACATAGTCTGAAGAAGGGTGAGAGATACACATGGATTACAGATGAGTGAGGGCCTGCACCAGACCCTGCGATAATGCTGCTGAATAATTTTAGACCTCGGATTTAATGGTGGAGGGGAGGAGCTCCAGATACCACCAGATATTACACATGGTTTACAAAGAATACTCTTTCCTCACTCTTTTAAAAAGATATACTTCCAGCATCTGCAGTTTCACATTAAGCTTACTTAAAACAGCATTGCCACTAAAGAAATATAAGGAAGCTTTGTTTCTGGAGCTCTGATGCAAAACATATCCACTAGGGAATAACCACTGTATTGTTCTAGAAAAAGATTATGTCTTAAAGTAAAACTAACAAAAGGATCACCTGTAAATGCTGAGAGGCAGTGTTGTATAGTGGTTAGTGTTGCCCTGGGACCCAGGTTCTAGTCTCCACTTCGCTGTGGAACTCACTGGATGTCTTTGGGCCAGTCACTCATTCACACCAAACCCACCTCACAGGGTGGTTGTTGTGAGGATAAAACAGAGACCACGCAAGCTCTGGGTTCATTGCAAGCAGAAGAAAGGCAAAATAGAAATATAATGAATTTCTATTATAAAGTAGGTAAATAAATGTGCATGGCCAGCCAGCTGGCACCAGGTTAAAAGAAAAATTGCAATGCCCACGCCAGCTTTGGTGCTGACGCTGGGTCTGTTGCCACTGCCCCAGCACCCGTCACTCTCCATAGGGTCATTTGGCATCCTTCTGGGCTGTGATGCCCTGGACTCTTTGTCTGGGGGGCTGCTTTGTGGCTGGGTGTTTTCAGGCAGAGGCTGTGGACATTCTTGCTCTCCTGATGGAGGCATTCTTGCTCTCCTGTTCTTGTATGGAAAAGGGAGCTGGTCGAGGTGGCTCTTAGTCTCCTTCCAGCTCTGGGATTCTGTAGCTCAGAAGTCAGATACTGGACAACCTCTGTTCAGCATGCTTCCACCACTCCTGTCAAGACATACCTTCTCTCCTTTTGACTTCCTCTTGGTTAGGGCATCCTCAAAGGACAATGACTGTGAAAGAACAGGAGGAGGAGGAGGAAGAGCTGTGGGTCGCAGACCATCAGGGCTCTGAGGAGAACCAAGTCTTCCCTGGTACTCACACAGGTATGGGGCTGCAGTCAACTCTTGTTGCCAACCTCTGTTTCTTTGTTTGTTTATTAAATTCACATTCTCCTAAATTGCTCCGAGGACTCCCTAGTGGGTTACTATTTACACACAGGAGCATCCAGGTGGGTGTCAGCTGAATAGATGCTTCGGCAGGATAAGCCCTTGCAGATAGGTCAAATAAGACAAATCGGTCTCGCTCCTTAAAAAGGTCTACCTGGAGCCAACAAGTTCTTTGAGGAAGCGGGCAAAGCCTTCCTTTTCTCCCAGGCAGTTTAGAGATTTGGCTTTTTAGATTTGTTTCCTGCATCGTACTACATGCCTTTAGCCATTTCTGATCTGCCCAGGGAACATGTGGCAAATTTTTAAAATACAGTAATTAAATGGGAGCGGCATTTATTTAAGGCAACATTAAGCACTTTTGGTGGATATTCATTGTGAGCAAGCGGTATCCATTTACTTTATTTTTAAAAAAAAATACAATGGCTGTTTCTTATATTTCCATCAGAAGAAATCACAAAACCAAACAATCCAAGCCATCACAAGACCAAAAAAGCCAAAAGCAGATGCAATCTAATACCAAAAATAAAAATCCAACAGCTTAATTGAAACTGAAAATTAAAGGTCAAAAGTAATTGAATAAGACAGGAATAAATCAGAAATGGCAGAACAATCTTCTCTTGGTCAACTACCTAAAAGACAATATGGGTGGTGGGGAGAGAGGTGTATATCGGTATGGCATGAGTTCAGCCATGTTGGTGCCACCACCCATAAGGCCTTGCTCTGCATTGCCATCCGGAGAAAAGTGAGGAAAAGAAAGGCAGGGCTGGAGGAGACGGCTTCTGTGATTGCTGCACAAAAGTTACGTTCTTGCTTTTTCAGAGAACCTCCTCCCTAACAGCAGCCTTGTTTGGACATGATGATAAAATCTTGTTTATTGTTAGAAGAACGAGGCTAGGCAAGCCTTGGGCTTGTGTGCTTCCCTCACCGCCCCTCTTTATTTAGTATGGCTGCAGGGAGATGAGAAACGTCTGCTTCCTTTTTTTAATTAACCACACCTTAGGGTTTGGATGTCATGCTGAACTGTCTAACCTTAACTGTAATTTCTTCTTTCTGGTCTCTGTGCGTCACACGTGAGGGCTCTGCCTTTGGGAAGCTTCTGTAGCTGAGAGAGTTTTGGTGGGATTAGAGGTGTCGCTGCCCGTTCCCTCAGCCCTTTCTCGACTGCCGTCGCGGTAGTTCCAGGAAGTCTGTTTGCAGGCACTAAGCTATTTCTTGCAACTGCTTTGTATGTGTTGTCCTTTTTGTCTTGCCTTTGCGACCCTCTCTCTTTTTTCACCCTGCTTCATCCATCCACAGCCTCAGTATCACCCCATTCGGGCGCCACGTCTCCGACGCCGATGGAGCCGGCTCACTCTGGAACCAACCACCACAGAGACCGTTCCCGTTCCCCTTTATCTGACTGGAACAGGCTCTCAATCCCACCGCGATATTGAAGGTCCTACGACCCATGGGGATGTCCTCAGGACCCAAGTGCCTTGTACAGCTCCCAGCACCAACAGCAGCTCCATCCTGAGCCCCCCTTCAGGGAACAGGGACGTCTCTCTGGAGAGTCGTCGTCGCGCGGGCCTCCGCCTCTGCTGCCGAGGGCGCCGCTGCCAACCTCTCAGCCTGCAGCTCCTCAGGCACTGCCTGTGGGCCACGCTGCCCCCTCCACCACGGCTGCACCCCGATCATTGTCTCCCACCTCTCTGCAGCACAGGCAGTGGCTGGACTCTCCTTCTGCTGTTGAGGACTGCTTGTCAGACTCAAGCTCCTGCTCGTCGGTAGCCCTGTCTGTCTCATCTCCCGAAGCGGCTGTGGGAAACCAGGGCCCTGACTCTCCATCGGAAGACCTCGAAGGACCTAGTCCTTCGAATGGCCCTGTGCGTGGGCCTGGACGCAGAGCAGCAGGAGATGGAGACGGTGAACGACCCGGTCTTTGATGACATATGGGTGTCCCCAGTTGCGATACCATTCATCCTACTCTCTTGAGGACAGTGCAACAATCATGGCATGCCCCATTTGCCATGACACCCATGTCCAGACACCTGGAGAACATGTACAGAGTGCAGGAGAAAGACGTGGGCTTCCTGTTCCAGCATCCTCGGCCAAATTCCAGGGTCGTCGAGTCAGCCCACGGAAGGCCACGCCACGCACACTCCGCTCTGGTTGAGAGGGAGGGACGCAGCCTGGACCTGATGGGAAGGCACATTTATTCTTGTTCTGCCCTGGGAGCACGGATAGCAAACTATCAAGCTACCATGGCCGCTACCAGCACCTCCTCTGGGAAAAGATCGGCTGCCTTTGCGAGCACCTGCCAGCAGACAAAAGGAAGCTCGCCAGAGCGATCCAGGCAGAAGCCCTGCACCTCTCGCGGCAGCAGATCTGCACGGCCAGGCACCAGGTGGAGTGCGACGCGAACGTGACGAGCGGGGCGATGGCCCTGAGGAGGCACGCGTGGCTGCGCTCGGCTGGCCTTTCGCAGGCCGCTCGCTCCAGGATCGAAGCTCTGCCGTTCGATGGCGAGAGGCTCTTCAGCGAGAAGACCGACAGCGTGATCAGTTCCTTCCAGAGGGCCCGGGCGAATGTGAGGCCGACGAGAGCCACACACCAGCGGCCATCAAGGCCTCGTCAGTGGCTCCGCTCCGGCCTGCCCTCTCATCCATCCAGGGGCCACGCAGACCACTCCCTTCGGCTCAGGGAGGCCTCAGCCAGGTCCCAGCAAAGGCGCAGGCCCCCGGGTGCTGACTGGCGCCCCTTGTGATCGTGGCCTCAGGCTGGCTGCTCCTTCCATACCCCAGTCTTTGGCCGCCCTTTGTCTCCCTTCCTTCCCGCACTGGAAACAATACCGTCAGTTGCCTGTGCCCTGTGTGCTGTGGAAGGAGGATACAGAAGCACCTTCTACACCCTTCCACCAGGTGATATTTAAGGAGTACTGATCCACCTGCAGCCTAGACTGTGGAAACAGGCTCACTGCTTTCAGAGAGCGCCGCAGAACTCCTTCCATCTCAACTTCCAGGCGTCTTCTACACCAGGCACTTGACAGCAGCAAAATGAGATGGAGAGCTTGAACTGCTACGGGCTCTTCGGGGCATCGGCATCTTCATCACAGCAAGGCGATTAAGGAGATTCATCTGCCTTTGTGGATTCGAAGGACGTACACTTCCGCGTCTCCATAGAGGATTCAGGCGTTTCCTACATTCCCAAATAGGAGGAGAGGCTTTCCAGTTTTCTGTTTTACCACTTGGCTTTTCCGTAGCCCCACAGGGCTTCACAAAGGGCATGGGAATGCCTGCAAGGCATTCAGGTTTACCTGCTCCTGAATGGGCAAACCTGGATGGATTGGCTGATTGGGGGAACTTCTGGGCAGGATTTACGCCATTCCATTGCTACGGCCTGCACGTTTTTGGACTTGGTGTAAATATTGAAAAATCTGACTCAGTTTATCCAGTTCTTTGGGGCCCACCTCGACTTAGATCTCTGTGCGGGCTTATCTCCTAGACCCCAGAGTGCCTGCTCCAATCAAGGTGGCCAGTGGACTGTGCAGGTGGCCTGCTCTCACGGCTTTCCACATCCAGGAGCTCCTCAGTCTCAGGGTGGCCTCAGTTGCTATAGTACTGCAAGCCTGGCAACAGATGTGTCCTTTCGGCTCATCTGTACATAAGATCCCATGGGTGACCCGTGATGGATTCATCTCTGGACTCCAAAATCTGTCCAGACAAGTCCCACCTGGTGGACACATCGCTACAGCCTCATCAAGGAGACTGCCTGCAATCCTCCAGAACCCATATTCACGGTGACTATGGATGCCTCCCTGTTGGGAGAAGAAGCCCACAGTGGTGTGCATATAATCCAAGGGATGTGGAATGAAGCAGGGATAATCTGCATCTACCTGAGGAATTTTGGGAAGTGTGAGGAGGTCACCATGAGCAGCAGAGAAGCCCAAAGTGCTACATCTGGATGCATGCAGCCTGCGTCTCACAGCATGGAGGATCCTGCATGGAGGAACCTAACTGACGGATTGTGCTTCTACCAGGAAACCTACAAGACAAAGTGGAAGGCTTTTTATTAATTTACATCCCAGGAGGGTGTTGACCCATATAAATATACAATTGACCAGATCCTTCTCTTCCTCCACTCTTCATCCATCCATGTCTATTTGGCAACAATTTCAGTCTTCCACCTAGAGATTCAGGGTTTGTCGATTTTTTTTTACATTCTCTTGATGTATTCTCCAGAGGCTTTCAAACATCATCCCACCAAAATGTTCAATAACCCTAACCCCTAATTTGTGCCTTTCTGTTGTCCTGCAAGCCCTATCAAACCCATGGCACGGTGGCAGTTACATCATCCCACCGTTCCAGTGAATTCTCCATATCAGGTCTTAGAAACATAGAAACAGAGCGAGTCAGAAGGGGTCTCCCGGGCCATCTAGTCTGACCTCCGGCACCAGCCGGCTCCGCTCACGACACGCCCACCACGTGCATGCCCAGCCTTCTATAGAGACAAAGTGGTTCAGCGTCCAGACCGCTCTTTTCTTCCCAAGGTTGTTTCGAATTCGCGTGTCAGCAAGGACATTGTACTGCTAGCCTTTTTTGCTCCCTCCTTGAATCCAACGGGATCAACCTTGCCTATGCTGAGATGTTTATTGAGCACTGGTGTTCCGCTGTTTTAGGACTGAATTGTTCCTGTGTTCACAGACAGTTTTTATTTTTTGTGGTGACAAAAATAAAGGCCTTCCCATGTCGTCTGAATGACTAGCAGCCTGGGTGATGCAGACAATTTCCCTGACTTACGAACTTGCTGCTCTACCCATCTCAGGACCATGGAAGGCTTGCTCAAGCCAGGCAATGACAACTTCTACTGCTCTACATGCTGGAATTCTTGTCTAGTCAACTCCAACAAAATTTGTGAAGCACTGCAGGCTCCATGTCCATGCCAAAGTGGATTGTGCTTTCGGAAGAGCAGCCTTCTCTTCGGTTCTTCAGTAAGTGACACCCACTCCGGGAAGGTAAGCTTGCCAGTTGCCCATACGTGTGATGCATGGAGACCACAAAGAAGAAAGGCAGGTTGCTTATCTGTAACTGTTGGTCTTCCAGTGTTCATCTGTGCATTCACACAAACCACCCACTGTCCCCATATAATCGCTAGAGAAGCAGGTGGCCAGTTCCAGCCTATGTTAGGGTTAGCCTACTGGGTCCTCCCTGAATCCCAAGGCTACAGTGTCAGCTTCAAGTGGACTGAAGGAATGGGTAGAAACCCCTCTAATATGTGATGCCAAAGGTGGGGAGTGGGGCTTTGCTCCAAAACTCTCTCAGCTGTAGAAACTTCCTGAAGCCAGGGCTCTGTGCACTTGAGGAGCCTGTATGTGTGAATGCATGGATGGCCACTCCAAGAACAAGTTACAGGTAAGCAACCTGCCATTATTGCAAGAAGCCAACTATTATTCTAGGTGGTGGTGGTGGTATTATTACTACTATTACTGTTACTACTATATCTATTTATATTCTGCCAATTCTCAGAGACTGGGACTCTAGGTTGCTAGATCCAATTCACAAGTCATGGCCAATTCCTTGGTTGTTTCAATCCAAAACAGCCTTTGGCTATTAGGCAGTATAAAAATGAAACACACACACACACATTTAATGGTGGCAGTGCATGGGAGTGAGTGTGGCACTTGCCACTTCACTTTTCAGTTAGCATCCTGGATGGTTTAATGACGTCCGAACCGGAAACCCTGGGTTGTTTATGGTTTTAAGAACTCAGAGTTAACTGAGCAACAGGCCACAGGCAACTCATGTTTAACCTATAAATGATCCTGGGTTCGGGGTTCAGCGATCATGGGACTACTTAGGAATGAGATTTTTGATATTGGCTTTTTTCATTAAACTCTAGTTAAGACTAACCACAGTTTATCTGGGAACAGCCTGGTCCAGTTTCATTGGATGAGTTTCTGTTGGTTCAGCTTGAGGATGTTGACAGAGATGCTTGGCCAGGTTCATGCAACTACCTTGTCCTTGGTCCTTTCCCTTCCTGGCCTATAAAAGCCAGCAAGCAAGGAACAACCAGCTGGGCCAAGGAGGTGACCAGTGTCTCATTGGGAGCAGGAGTGGCCTGATGTCTCCTGAAAGAGGAGGTGGTGAGATCCCTTCTGAAGAAATCTGCCCTTGACCTGGAAGACCTTAATAGCTTTAGGCCAATAGTACATATTCCTTTCCTGGGAAAGGTTCTTGAGAGGTTGTTTGCCAACCAGCAGCAGGCTTAGCTGTGGATGTGCTAAAGTGGAGTCTGGCTGTGCCAGTGGACTGGATGAGGGCTAACAAATTGAAGCTCAGTCCGGACCGAGATGCTGTTGATGGGGGCGTTCCTTGAACCGAGTGGAGGGTGTTCACTGTGCAGCAGATGGGATTGCAGTCTCCCTGAAGGAGCAGGTTTGTAGCCCACGCGTGCTCCTTGATCCATCTTTGTCAGCTGAGGCTCAGGTGGCCTCAGTGCTTGGCTCGGAGTGCCTTCTGCCAGCTTCGGCAATCGGGCTGCTGCAATGCGCTCTACGTGGGGCTGTCCTTGAAGAGGGCTAAAAGCTGCAGCTCATGCAGAATGCGGCAGCCAGGTTCGTAACCGGGACCCCAGGTCTGGGCACTCAGGACCAGCTCTGGCCTGCTTGCACTGCCTGCCTGCATTCCTCTGGGCCTAGTTCAAGGTGCAGCTTTTAACCTGAAAGACCCTACCTGGCTTGGGAGCACAGCATCTCTCAGAGTATCTCCCCCACCGTGCCCTGCTCAGACAATGCAGCTCAGCCGTTGCGGTCTTCTCCAAGTGCCAGCTGCAAGGGAGTAAACTGCCTTGTTGTAAACTGCCCAGAAAGCTTTGGCTGTGGGGTGGGATAGAAATAAAATCAGTCGTCGTCGTCATCATCATCATCATCATCAACACACTGTCAAAAAAGGAGGACTGCTTCTAGTCACCTGTGTGGTTTATCATTCCATCCAAATACAGCCAATCTTGTTAGCCGCTTTGCAAATCTGTTGAATGAAAAGTAAGAGGGTAAGTTTTAGTTGAAACTTGGGGGAAAGCAGCTTGTTAGAAAGAGTACATCAAAACCTGATTTCCTGATACAGAGGAATAAGTCCCAATAAATCTTTTTATAAAGAGTCCCAATAAATAAATAAAGATCCACAGAAAGGAGACAATACAGCAGCTCTTTGACCAGCATCAGCTTATGAGCGCTGCAAAAACCCAGTTAGCCTTGAGTTGAGCACAAAAAAATCACCCACAGCCTCTGGGAATGGGGTGGTATTTAAAAATTAAAATAAATATGAAATAAACTAAAGAATAAACCCAAACAACTTAATACTTCCAGCAAAACCTGGTTACAGAGAGGTTGCTCCTAGACGTTTGTTCTATTTAAATACAGGAAAATGGCTCTAAAGAGATTGGTTGGGCCTTCAAGCCCAGCGGAGGAAGCGAGCTGGCAAATGCATGCTCCTGCTTCCCGGGTGCCTCTGTTTATTTTTATTTTATTTAGAATATTTATATGCCGTCCTTTCACAGAGCCTCAGGATGGCTTACATAAATAAATAAGAAGAATAGAATAAAACATAATACAAATAAATTCCAGATCCACCCTGGCTGCAGATTAAAACATATATAGCTAATATTAAAAGTTATTAAAATATTGTTGAAATAAAAAGGTCTTAGCCTGGCGCCGAAGAACAAATAACAACGGCGCCAGGGGGATCTCTGGGGAGCGCATTCTATAGGCGCCTGTTCTGCCCTCTTTAGTTGAGAGGACGTCTTCGGACACCCTCCAGAAGCCCTCCCATGGCTGTTTCCTTCCCCTGGCTCGTTTCCCATAGAAGGCATATCCCTGGTTGAGAAGCAGAGTCTTCTGTCAAGGTTGGGTCTTCCAATTGTAGAAGATAAGCCACGGCAGCTTTGCCGGGTCTCACCCATTCCCAGCACTTGAGCCAGGAAGAAGCCTGATACAATTGAAATCGCAGGCGTTTGGCTCTCCGTGTTTGAGCCCATCTCTGCAGCTTCCCCTCTGAGTTGGTGCCACAGGCGTTGTGGGGGAACTAGAGCGGGAGGGAGTGTCGCATTCCTGCCCTGCTTGAGGGATCCTTTGGGCAGCTCTTTGGCCACCATGCGAACAGAACACCGGACTCGGTGGAGCTGGGCCTGATCTGGCTCAGGTCTGCTTCGGTTCTTAAGGTCTCACAGAGCAGTTTGATGGTGAAACGAATTGCTTCAAGAAGAGGTGGACTCTCCCTCGACGGAGGTCTTCCGACAAAGGCCAGAAAGCCATTTATTGCGGGGCTGCTAGTACCAGGTTTCCTACTTGAATCAGGAGGTTGGACTTGATGATCTCAAACTCTGACCTTCCTGGAAATAAAATAAGTTTCCAACATCATGCACTTGCAGATTGTGATGTGTGGGTGGGCTTCAGTGAGAGAAGACTTTTCCAAATATTCTGGGCCCAAACCCATTAGGGACAGTGCACGTCCATTTTTAACTATTCTATTTATTTTTGTCCCTTTGGTATTGTTTTTGTTAGCTACATGCGACATCCTTTCCTAATACAAGTTCATAGCAGTTCACGTGATTGCTGTTTTCCTAATTCTGGAATATGGGAGCCTCTCCACTCCCACCCCCTGAGCACAGGCCAACCTTAGGGTACCAGTCAAAACAGCTTAGCAGTTTGCATAGAAATCAGTTGACTGCTAGCCAAGTAAAACTGGGGTATCTCTCCTTTCTTCATCTTGCGACCTCTTTCCCTCGAACAGGGCTCCTTGACCAAAAGATAAAGGTCAAAGAAGAGGAGGAAACATGGGCAAAGGATCCTCAGGTCTCTAAAGAAAACAAGACCTCACCAATTGACCATTCAGGTGAAGGGCCTAGACAAGAATTGTGGGGGGATGATAATCCATTTTGAATTTGTTGTAGCGTTTTCCATAATTGCCCAGGATTCCAGAGGAGCCGCCATGTTAACTGGCTGCAGCAAAAACTGTGAAGAGTTTTGTGGCCCCTTGAAAATGAACAAGCTTATTGTGGAAGAAGCTTCCATGGTGCTCCAGGTGTTCAGTGGGACACCTTCTGGTCAGGGAGCTTGTGTGTGCTGGCTGTGTCCCCTGGGGGCCACATGCGCAGTGTTGCTCTGCAGGGAAACGGTACATGTGCCGCTTGCCATCTGGGCCTGGCCGGCACAGGCACTGCTGTGATGGCTGGCTCCATGGTCCAGGGCTGGCTCCGGCTCCTGGAGTTCCCCAGACAAGATGCCCTCCCTCAGCGAGTGCCCCTTCTCCCTTCCAGCCCTCCCGCTGCTCTTGTTCCTGCTCCTCGGTCTCAGCATTGTAGGCTCATAGCATGGTAGAGCTGGAAGGGGCCAAGGAGGCCCTCGGGCCCAGTCCCCAGCTGGGCCAGGTCCTCAGTCTGCAACATCCTACCACTTGCTGGCTTAACATGCACAGAACCAGCCAGAGTGCAGGGTGGCTGTGGCCCCCACACTGCCGTCCTTCAGGACCGCCGTGGCCTGGGCGGGAGCGAAAGGCAGGGACCACGCAGGCTGCCAGAGGGAAGAGGAGCAGCTCCAGGGTGATGCTGTCAGTGGGCTCCCCAGTGCCTGTGATGCTGGCCCTTGGCACAGGTGCTCTGGGCAGCCCGAGTGCCCCCGTGCATGTTCGACCTGCATGCAGAGGGGGTTGAGTGAGCCCCCTTCTGGTGCATCCGAAGTGCCTGATTCAAGCTGACGGCATCCGTCTCTTCCGCACTCAGCAGGATTTTCCTGTCTCAAGACCGAGCCGAGCTCCCAGGGCAGGCCAGGAGAAGAGGCTTCAGTTCCACAGCAGAGGTTCATGGAAGAAAACGGTGCTTCAGACCACAGCTCTGGTGAGGCAATGGAGAACCTACCTCATTTGAAGACCAATAGGTCTTGAGAGAAATGATGGGATTTCCACCAGACCTAAGCTGCCAACCTGGCTTCCTTTTACCCCTCCCTGTTGACCAGGGTTTCCTGACGTGGCAGTAAAGATGGAAGATGATAAACCAGGAGTGCCCACTGCTTATGAGTGCTCAGAGACAAGTGAAGCCGGCAGAAGTTCCTTCTCCGGTAAGAGATAAGTTTATGACATGCCCCTGTGTATATAAATCATTCATGGCTTACTTTTCTGCATTTGCCTGCTGTCTCTCTGGAAACATCTAGGATTTAGACATCCTCAGAAATAGGGTGTCAGGCTTGAGAAATTTTTGCTTTATAGGATTAACTTTGTTTTTTTGCTAGAACCCCAACCACGCCCACTTGAGAAATACTGGCTTAGACAGACACTTAGAATTAACAAACAAGGTGTCCTGGAATACATGCTTACTCTAAGGTAAGCATCTCACAGCCCTATTTGCATGGAAATCATCTTGATTTTTCTCAACCCTTCATTTAATCAGTTTAATTTGGAGCAGAGAAAGATTTTTCATTTTGTTGTTAGGGTAAAACAACTGCTTGGAAACTTGCCAACCAGTTTTAACACAAAATTGTGTTAAAATTGGTAGTATACTTCTTGGCAAGTTTTATACTGTTGATGTTATGTGCTCTGAAGTTGTCTCCAACATATGACAACCCTCTGAATGAAAAATTTCCAGAATGTTCTGTCCATGATTATGCCACTCCATATCCAACTATGGAGATTTCAAACAATAAAAGAACCAGGGTGATGTAGTTGATAAAAAATGTGAGACTGGGAGAAAGGGCTGTGCCTGGTTCCCCAGCCCCAGGTATTTATCCGTTCATTTATTTTAATTTGTTTCATTTCTGTACTGCCCAATGGCTGGAGCTCTCTGGGCAGTTTACACCACATAAAAATACAATATAAAATACATCATTATACAATATAAAATTCAACATGGCAAACATCATAGAAAGGTGATCATACAAAATATAAAACTGAATTAAAACACACACAAAAAGTTACAGTGACCCATATGGATTAATCAGACAACCTGTTAAGCAGCTGACAAAGCCCCAGTGAACTAATTAATGCCTCGCAGTAGAAGACAGTCTAAACCTTGTGCCAAAGGAATATTTAGAGCTTTATAAGATCCTATCCAAAACTTAAACTTTGCTTGGTAGTGAATAGATGGCTAGTGCAAGTCGCTCAGCAACAGGGCTTCTTGGAAAAGGGGCAGCCGCCACAGCACTGGTGGACTTTAGCAGCAAACTGGCCGCCCAGCAACATGGGTGCAATCACTGGCGGGTTCAAACCGGGAGGGGAAATTGTACCTCCCCTCATATAATCCAGAAGTTGCCCGCACTTGCTCTGCAGCAGTGGGATATCCTGTTTGTGGCCCCATTTCTGTCCACGTAATTCTTAAAATAAGGGACAGTAAGATGAGGCCCTTTGGAATATCATAGAAACATAGAAACAGAGCGAGTCAGAAGGAGCCTCCCAGGCCATCTAGTCTGACCCCCGGCTCCAGCCGGCTCTGCTCACGACACGCCCACCATGTGCATGTCCAGCCTATCCTTGAACACCCGCACCGATGGGGCCTCACCCACCTCCTGTGGAAGCCCATTCCACACCCTCAGGGACCTAACTGTCAGGAAGTACCTCCTGGCATCCAAATTGAACCTGGGTCCCCTGAGCTTTGCTCCATTGGAGCGCCTCCTGCCCTCCTCTGCAGGGGAGAACAGGTCCCTACCCACCTCTGTGTGACAGCCCCTCACGTACCTGTATGTCACCATTTCAGTCCTCTTTGCTTCATCTCTCACATCTCTGGCCAGGTTTCCCTGCTGTGCCGATAAAAGTGGAAGAAGAGGAGTCCTGGGAGTCGAGCACTCAGGGCTGTGAGCAAGGTAAGACCTTCCGGAAGGCTGAGACGGTGGCCGCTTACAGAAAGACTCCAACGTGATGTTTAGTTTACAGGGCATCAGAGGGAGCTTTACCTCTTTAGCTGCTTTTCTCCGCCCCCCAACCCCAGTTCTCTGCTAGTCTGTTTAGAAGGCTATAGGGGCCAACTAAATTGCTCAAAGACCTGGAGAAACTCCTTTATGAGTAAAGGTTACAACATCTGGGACTATTTGGCCGAAAGAAAGGTTGAGTGGACATGATAAGAGGGGTGCCAAATAATGCATGGAGTGGAGAAAATGGAGGCTCTTTTCTCATCTCACCATACTAGAAGCCAGAGGGGCCATCCCATGAAGCTGATTGGTGGGAGATTCAGACGGCTTGACGGGGCATGGCTGAACTGTGGAAGTCACAAGCTGTAGTCATCGGGATGGCTTACAATAAATGAGCCATTTCGGGATGGCTTACAATAAACTAACCCCACAGCATCCAACCATTAATATACTAAAACCCCAGTTAAAACCAATTAAACATTAAAATTGTAGGAAAATAAAAAGGGGTTTACCTGTCGCCAAAAAGAATGTAACATCGAACTTTAAAAGGGGATAAGGAACTTCACAGAGGAAAAGGCTGTCAGTGGCTACTAGTCCTAATGGTCCTTCCAAAATACTAGTCCTTCCAAAATTAGAAGCAAGCATGCCTGTGTGCACTAGGTGCTGAGGAACATGGGTGGGAGGGTTCCCATGTCCTACCTGTGGGCTTGCCATTGAAATACCTGGATAGCCACTGCGTGAAGAAACCACTGACTAGATGGCCCCTTCTCTGTGTGTTCCTGCCATGAGCTAAGCACTGATCCTGCATCCTTCGTGGGACTCGCTTCTTGTGGAAGAACTATGTGTGGGCAGGAACGGAGGCAGCCCCCGTTCAGCAGCTTCTTGTCTTGTGTTGGTGGACAACTGCCGTTAAACTCAAGCCAAGTGGCTAGCCAATTTGGAGGAAGGCTGCCATCCATGGTGCTGCCAGAACTGGCCTGCTTCTTTAGAGCAGGGACGTGTGGTCCGGCAGACATGGTCAGATGCTGCAGCTCTTACCAGCCCAAGACTGATGAGGGCCGATGGCACTGGCACTCCAACAGCATCCAGAGGGACACACGTTTCCCAGTCCTGATCGGGATGCTGCTTTACACTAGCTCACGCTGTCTGAGCCTGGTGAGGAATCCCTCAGAAAGGAAGGGTCCGCCAGCCCGGCAGGTCTCTCCGCTTTGTACAGCCGTCCACTGTCTTTGTATGCTTTTTATTTAAACGTCATTTTAATTGTTAATATTATTTGCTTATTTTATCTGGCCAGGGCGACTTATTTTATATTGTTAATTTGTTGTATATTTGAATGTTTTATATTTTAATTTTATGTTGTGAGCCGCCCCGAGGCTTTGGCGAATGGGGCGGCATAGAAATGTTTTAAATAATAATAATAATAATAATCATATGCTGGGAGGAGAGGAGAGGCGATACGGGGGGTGTCCCTCCTCCTCCGTGCTTTCAGCCACACCCACGCAGGCAATTCCTTGTCACCCGCCGTTGCCAGAATGGTGGTTAGATGCAAGCCTGGATTTTTTTGCCCATCCAACCAGTACGGACTCTGCCTACCAGCATCTCACCAGGGCAGAGAGAGACCTGCCCCATCCTCTGCTCCCTGATCCTTGCAACTCAGGTATTCACCATCATCTTGCCCCCAAGAACTGTGGGAGTCTGCTGGGTCGTGGGGGCCACATATTGCATGCAGGTGCTCACACGCAGCACGCGCACCATGCACGGCCACCCCATAAGCAACCAATCTGGGTCTTGCAACATCTTTTCCGAGCTGCAGCATCAAGACATTGACGCCCCTGCCCAAGCCTCCCAACCCAGTCACAGAAACAAGGAAAAAGGGGCTCCAGGAATGGGCTCTATAGTTCTTGCCATAAAAGCCCCGTTCCTAGAGTGCCGCAGGAAGCTTTTGGCATGGCCTCTGAGGATGCTCCAGCGATGCACTAGGGGTACGGTGTCTATGGAGGAAACCATAGCAGCTGTTCCTAGAGTGTCCTTTCCACCCACATGCACACTTTTCAACAGCTGCGGATGCTGAGGGGCTGGGGGCTGCTAGCGGGGCTGATGGAGGGGGCACACTTTCAGCACTGCTGTTTTTCCTGGAGAGGCCCTGGTACGACTTCACATACACAATCCTGACTAGACAATATAGGGCTGGATGGGCAAACAGCCGTACCTGGCATAAGGGATCATCTGGTGCTCCAGACATCTTCCATCAAAAGAGTTCTGCCCCGCTGGCAGAAGCCCCCTTTGCCTGAGTCTGTGGCGAGCAGGTGCTGGTCAGCATCAGCCGTACTGGGGATGGTGCAGTGCAACCTGCTATAAAGCAGCTTCCAGTGTCGCTTTCTAAGTTTCTCCTCTCCAAGGTTGGTAGCAAGGGATCGAGACAGGCTAGGCAGGGATGGAGAGCCAGACTGACAAGCGGCTTGGAGCCACATGGAAGGGGAGCCCCTTCCTCTGAAATCCAGACCCTCCCTGGATTTTCCACAGGACCTATAAACGTGTCCCAGCAAGCCAGTGAGACGGCAAGTGTCCAGCAAGCAATGGATTGTGGGAGCTCGGGAAGGGCTGAAACATTAAGCCAGGCACCAGAATGCGTTCAGCGGAGTCATGCAGCCAGCCTCACACTGACCTGGTCGTGAGATTGTCACAAGAGCCTTGTCTTGTGTCTTCCTTCTGTTCAGGATTCCCTGGCTTGATTATAAAGGTGGAGCCAGAAGAGGAGCCATGGCTCTCTGATCTCCAGGCCTCGGGTGGAAGCATGGCGGCCTCGGGGGCCCAGTCAGGTAAGGGAGGGCTTGCGGACGCGCCCTTGGTATAGTCAGCGCTGTTTCATAGTGCCTGAGGGGCGTGTGGGTGAACACGGAGTGTGAGAAGCGACGGCTGCCACACTTGCAAGTCTCCCTTCCAGGCCAGCCCAATATTTGCTGTTCGCTTGCACCATTTCTTACTAACTGAAGGGTTACATGGGGCTGCGCTTGGAAGCAGTCTGGAAACTTCATTTGGTACAGAATAGGGCAGCTTCTCTCTTGATGGGAATGTGTAGGAATGAACATATCAGCCCTGTGCTGTGCACTCTGCACTGGTTGCAAGGTGAAGTCCGCGCCTGCTTTAAGGTGCTTACACCAACATATAAAGCCCTGGACAGTGTAGGGGCTGGATATCTAACAGAGCGTCTCCTTTCACACACACCTGCTCAGACCCTTAGATCGCATATGGAGGTCCTTCTGCATGACCCACCCCTAAAGGTGGGCTGCAGAGGGAAGGGCCTTTTCCGCTGTGGCACCGCTTTTGTGGAATCGGCTCCCTGGGGAAATATGCCTAGTGCCAACATGATATATGTTCTGGCACCAGATTAAAACATGCTTATTTTCCCATCATATTAATCGTTGATTTTATTGGCCTTTAAGCTGTTTGGTACGTGTGGAATGGTTATTATGTTATGTGCATTGTTTTGTTAGGGTTTTATCATAGCATGTCAAATTTTATTGTTTGATGGTTGTTCTGTGACAGGCAAGGTTGTTTTAAGTTGGTTTTTTAATTGATCGTTACTTGATATTTTAAATTATATTCTGTAAACAGTTCTGAGGGCTCATCTAATTGAATGGTACAGAAATACCATAGATGATAATAAGTAGTAAAAGACTCCACAACTCTTTAGTTGAAAAGGAATTAGTTTTAGAGGAAATGGCCCAGTTCCACAGTTCTGCCATAAGTCCCCCTCCTTCATATCTCCCCAATATATTTCCACTTTTGCTGGGGGCAGAGAGCACGGCCTTCTGACACCTCTGTAAAGGCTCAGGTGGGTCGATGTGGGAGAAAGTGATCCTTGAAATCGTGTGTGTGTGTTGGATTCAGGTGTATGCCGATTCCCCTAGAAATGGGTGCCCAGGCCCCATGAAACTCTGCTTGATCAGTAACAAATGAAGAGAAGTTTGGTTGCTTAAACACTCCCTTCATTGCTTTATGAGGTGCCCATTATGCCCATTCTCTGCAGAATCAAAGAGTCATCTTGGTGTTCTTAAAATGCCTTTTTTTTTTTGCTCAAATTCATGATTCTCTCTTGCTTCTAATAGGCAATGGCTACATGAAAGAAGAGCAGGATCTTCTGCCTGGAAGCATGAAGCATGTGGAACTTAGCCGAGCAATGACACGAGGCACTGTTTTCCGCTATCTTGGAAGGGCCAATCAATACCGAGCGGAAAGACAACCAGGGAGCCACACAGGGAAAAGGGTTAGCAAGAAACCCTACAAAACCTCAAATTATGGGAGAATATTCATTTGGAGGAAATATTTTCTTGCCCAAGAAAGAACCCATTCTGGAGACAAACCGTACACTTGTTCGTATTGTGGGAAAACTTTCAATGTGAGGTCCTACCTGCTTGCCCATGAGAGAACCCACACTGGAGAGAAGCCTCACAAATGCTCGCTTTGTGGGAAGGGCTTCAACGTGCGTTCCTACCTTATTGCTCATTGGAGAACCCACACAGGAGAGAAGCCTCACATCTGCTCATTTTGTGGGAAAAGCTTCAGTGGCAGGTCAAACCTCAACAGGCACCAAAGAAGCCACACAGGAGAGAAACCGTACACCTGCCCAGTGTGTGGCAGGAGCTTTAGTCATAAAGCGCACATGATCAGACATGAAAGGATCCACACTGGGGAGAAACCCTACAAATGTTCACAATGCCTGAAGAGCTTCAGCCAGAGTTCAACCCTCATTTCACATGAGAGAACCCACACAGAGAAACCATATAAATGTTCACACTGTGAGAAGAGCTTCAGCCAAAGTGCCAAGCTTGCAACTCATGAGAGAACCCACACAGGTGAGAAACCCTATGAATGCCCAGTGTGTGGGAAAGGCTTCAATCACAGGTCAGATTACATCATTCATGAGAGAACCCACACGGGAGATAAACCCTATGCATGTTCTGTCTGCGGGAAAGGCTTCAGTGGGAGATCTAACCTTACCAGACATGAGAGAAGCCACACAGGAGAGAAACCGTACCTTTGCTCTGTTTGTGGCAAAGGCTTCTGCCATAAAGCGCACCTCCTTCGACATGAGAAGATCCACACAGGAGAGAAACCATACAAGTGCATGGACTGTGGTGAGAGTTTCAAGCACAGAACAGACCTCATTGGTCATGAGAGGGGCCATTCAGGGGTCAAGCAGTATACCTGCACAGCCTGTGGGAAGAGCTTCAGTGGGAAATCCAATCTTAACAGACACAAAAGAAGTCACACAGGCGAGAAACCCTACACGTGCTTGGTCTGTGGCAGGAGCTTCAGTCACAAAGCACACCTGATCAGACATGAGAGAATCCATACTGGGGAAAAACCATACAAGTGCTCTCACTGCACAAAAAGTTTCAATCAGAGCTCTACTCTTGTCGCTCATGAGAGAACCCATGCAGGAGATAAAGCATGTAAACGCTGAGTTATGGGGGGAATGGCTTCTGTTTTGTGGGAATTGTTAAGTCCGAGAGATTGTAAACTGAGTCCATGTACTGTGCTTTTGAAAGTTCTCCCATCTGCTCGTGTGCCTGTTAGGCAATGAGGGTGACTTTTTAAAGGTATAAATAACTGTTAGGAGGGAAATGGGGTAAAAATGTGTGAGATTGCTGGTCAGCTACATCCCGCAGTCTTTCCACAAATGGAGGATTTGCCTAGGAAAGCGTTTGGCTTTAGATACTTGCCTCACTCTGGGGCGAAGAGACGAAAGAACACAGCATGGTTTAAAATAGAAAGAGAACACCTTGTCAAGGGGAAATGCTGCGGTTCAGTGGCCAAGTGCTTGTTTTACATCCGAGATCAAGAACCCAGATTCAGTCTCCATCTAAGAGAGGTGGCAGGAATAGGAAGGCTGCTTGCTCGTCACACCGATGGCCTCTCGGTGTAAGACAGCTTCACACATGAATGAAGAACCAAGGGTTCTTGGGGTAAGGGAGGCAGGAGTTAGAGCTCCATCCCTGAGAAACTTGAGCAGGAGGCTGCGGTTGCACTTATGACTTATTGGTGGACTTCCTCCCGAGGCATCTTCTGAACTGACGCTGGAGTAGACCGGCCTTTGGTCCTGACCCAGCACTGCTCTTTTTATGTTCTTAGGAATTTGCCATCAAAATCCACACTTGGTAAATAATGAACGATCTGTTTAGAGGGGTAAGAGACCTCAGTGAGAAGAGGCCTGTCCATGGCTATTGACCAGAGAACCTGTGGCTCCCCAGGTGTTATTGGAGGGTGACAGCCAGTGCTTCCAATAAGCAGGAATTATAGGAGGTATAGATAAAAAATACCTGGAGGCCACAGGATTTCAGCCCGTTCTCTAGTCTGTGAAAGGCAATGCTGCAATAAACCAGTTCCCCAGTCCAGCTCAGTCTAGTTGGTTTGAACTACAGCTCCTATCACCCTGATCATGGACCATGCTGACTGGGGCTGCTGGGAGCTATAGTCCAAAATAACTAAAGGGCACCGCTAGGTTACCTAACCTTGACTTGGTGTGGCTTTTTCCAATTAGGTGCTCACCAGATGGTTTGGACTATAACTCCCAAACTGCCTACTGGTAGTGTCTGATGGGAGTTGTAGTCTAGCACACTTGGGGAACCCCAGGTTGGGGAAGTCCTGTTTTAAGAGGCTAGGAGGCATTTGGTGGCTGTCATTTTTTCCTGAAAGAGGCCAAAACAGCTTTCCCTCTGAAACATAAGAAGAAAACTGGTCCTTTGCCCACTTACCAGGGAGAAAGCCCCATAGAACACATTGGGACTTACTTCTGAGCAGGTATGTATAGACTGTCGTGTAAAGTACCACTGTTCATGTTTGTATGTGTCCAAAACTGGTTTTTCATTTGCTTTCTTAGGATTACAAGTCTTGGTGTTCCTCATAAAAGTAGTACTTCCATAGTTTAGCCACTGCCCATAATAATTATATAAGATGTGTATAAGGTAGATAAGGGCACGGTGCAGTAGTGTTACTGATTAAGCAAAAATAATTACATTGAGATCTTTAAAAAAAATATATGACTGATCGATGAGGACAGATGTCCAAAATTATTCCTATTATAGCACAGCTACATGATGAGGTTGCAGTGCTGAGGCTGCTGAAGCAAAGCAACCTTTTTTGTGATTTGTACCACTTTCTTTTCTGCAGACACGTTTTGTGACAGCCTGTGAAGCAGCTCAGATGTGTAAGATGTTCATATCTGGAACTTAAACAGCTCTGATTTTGAACTTTTGTTTTCTGATTTCACATGACAAGCTTTGCTAATCCCCTCAAGTCTGTCTCAGGCAAGTTGTTACCAGCCAGACTGTTGGCTGAATGAGAAATGAGACCCTGGCAGCTCGTTCAACTCTAAAAATGACTTTTTTGTTTTGATGTGCTGCTACAGCAAGGAATATAATGCATTCCTTGACTTAACGAAGGTGACAAGATTAAAAATCATTTTCCTCCCCTTTCTAGTATGAAGTTGCATGAAGTTTTATTTATTATCCTGGAAGGTACAATTGCCACGCTGGCCTTAAATCATCAACTTGGAGCATGTTCATAGGAGCACAATGAAAATGGTTGATTGTATGTGGAAAATAAGTCCAAGGAGGAATTGTTAAAGGGATTGGGTGCATGTAGCTTGGAGAAGATGAGGCGGGACATCAGAGCACTCTTCAGATGCCTTATGGACTATCTCAGACCACAGGATTTGATCTAATGGGGTTAAAATTACAGGAGAGCTATGGGTGGAAAGTTAAGAAAAAATTCTTTTGAGATTTTGAGTTTGGGTCAGTCCAGTTTGGCACAGTGGCAAACCTGTACCTCAGACTACAGAACGAGGGCTTGCTTCTCCCTACAAATATCCCTGCAGCCAGAAAGCTATGCTAGAACCCTTGCCTCCTGACATGCTAGTTTTCTTTGTGTGTCTGTCTGTGTGTGTGTAACTTGGCTGGAACTTAGAACTTTCCATCTGCTCTCTGAAGTGGCGCAACCCAAACTTGGGCTTGTCACCTCAGTGAAAACCAGACAAAAGTCCCGGACTGAGTTAGATCCCACACTGGCTTCCTGGTGCCCTGTACCAACACTCGAGGCCTAACTGAGCAACTATCTGGGACGAAGTTGGCCGTTGTGATTGGATCAGGATTTCCCTGGCTCAAACTGCATGAGGGGCCTAGTCCTGTGTCTGGTGCATTCCAGGTATAAAGCAGTTTTAACATAATGGCAGGTGTCAGGTTTTGAGAATGGGGCTCACCCAAATGGTGGTGCTGGCCAAATTCCGTGCGATTGCACTCCCACTGGCCACAGCCCTCCTGTTGCATCGGGATATGATTTGGGGTGGGATGTGGGTGTGCAGGGGTGCTGGTTTTCCTGTTACTTACTCAGATGATTCAAGTGGAGTCTGCAACGAAACACTGTAGTGAGGAACACTCCGACCAGACTCGCAGATACACTGTTCCATCATTCTACCCTGCCAGCTTGGCCATGGAGTGCCGGGAGTCGCAGCCTAAAATGGCTGAAGGACACTGTTGTTGTTACATTGCATTTATTCCTGCCTTTTTCCTTTTGTGAGGAACACAGCATGGCTTACATAGCTCCATTTATCCTCACAGCAAGAACCCTGCGAGGTAGGTTGGGCTGAGAGCCAGCGGCTGGCCCAAAGCCACCCTGTGAGGCTCATGGCCCAGTGGAAACTAGAACCTGGCTATCCCAGGTCCCCAGTCCATCAGTCTAACCCCACCACATCACACTAGTTTAGGGAATGTTGGCCTGCTGCTGCTAGTTGCAAAGTCTGATCCATCGCGACCCCATGGACAACATTCCTCCAGGCCTTTCTGTCCTCCACCATCTCCTGGAGTCCACTCAAGCTCACACCAACAGCTTCAGCGACTCCATCCAGCCACCTCATCCTCTGCCGTCCCCTCATTTTGCCATCTATTGTTCCCAGCATTAGGCTCTTCTCCAGGGAGTCCTTCCTTCTTGTTAGGTGGCTAAAGTATTTGAGTTTCATCTTCAGTATCTAATGTTGGCTTAGGTTATGCCAGAAGAAATGTTACGTCTTTAGGATGCCACCAAACTCAGGTAAGAATGACGCATCTCTCATGGTGTCTCCTTGGTTCCTGGAGGGAGCAGCCAAAAAAGTAACCTGAGAGGGGAAGAAAGGACTCACAACCCACAGTAAGTCCAATCCAGAGCTCACAGTAGAGGGAGTATTGAGCTGTTTTAGATTCTGGTTGGCTTTTTCCCCTTCTTTTTCCCAGACATCACAAACCCCATTTGCCAAGCTGGACTTCTCAATACTTGTTTTGACAGCTACAAGCAGTTCCTTGGAAGTGCCTAAGCAGAAGGTTGGAGGAGCTGCTCAACATGGCCAAATATGTTTAAATTGGTGCCCTGAAATTTTCATAAATATTTGCAATCTTTTTTTTAAATGTGTATTTTAACTCATACTTGTGCAACTGCAAACATATCTGGTTGTGCAGGTTTCGGGGAGTACATTTTGCACTTCTACCCAAGCTTCTGTGTGCTCAGTAATGTACAAATGTTTTCAAGGAAAAATAGGTTTTGACAGCTTGAATAGCTCTCAGATCTCTGGGTGCCTTCGAAAAGAGGGTTTTGAGGGGAACCTGGGTGATATTGGACTAAGGTACATGTTTGTATACATCTCAGTCCAACATCCGCAGTTCCCATCCAAGCCCCTCTTTTAATGAAACCCAAAGCAAGCGGTCAAACCCCTTTTTCCACTGATAAAGAGGAAAACAGTGTTGCATTTTTCTGATGCTTGCCAGCACAGGACAAAAGACAGACTCCCCCCCCCCCCCCGTGTCACCTAAGCATCGGGGTGGGGGAGAAAAATACGACCTTGCGACAAAACATGTACCAATCCCTCCCAAGCCCCCTTTTGAAGCACAGGGTCATGTGTCCCTTTGCCTGCAGTTCCCTTGGGCAGCAGTTGTGTATCTGCCTTAATGGTTCTTCTGTTTCTAAGGAATCATCAATTGTACCTGGGAGAAAAGTTAGAGAAACGAAGAGAAGCTGCCAGATGGGAAATGGCCGGCATGTCCTGTTGTTGGGCATAGCTTAAAGACGGCAAACAGCTGTTAAAGTGCAGAAAAGAGCAACCTAGCAGAGTTTTGCATGGTTGTCTGAAGTCTTAGCTTCCAGAGCATTATCTCTGGATGTTGCAGAACCGGTTAGCAGGCCTTCTGCAATCATTTTTCCAGTCCAAACCTCGTCACCAAGTGGGTGCCTCCCCGAGGAAGAGTCACCCTGATCAACTCAGGCCTTCCCAAAGGCCAGCTCACACAGCAGGTGACAAGGGACCCAAATCCTATTTCCTTGCATCTCCTTCCTCTGTTTCATAAGCAGAACAAAGAAATTCTTTGCCTCAAATACAAAGGTGTGATGTTTCAGAAATTAATCCTGAAGACTTGTATGGGAGTCAAAGACGGTGGTGGTGGTGGTGGTGGTGGTGATCAGGAATATCACATGTAGCCAGAGCCTTCTGGGTGGTCCACATTTTAAGTCGCCCATCCAGATTTCAGCAAGGCCCAACCCTGCTTAGCTGCCACGATTAGGCAGAATCAGACCCTTCAGGCTATGCAGAAGCACTGTGTTCCATGGTTACAAAACGGATCAGTCCTCAGTCCTGGACTTCTGCTACCCTTTTCAGAGCGTTCAAGTATGACCTGGTTGATGCGCTGGCTATGCAACCCTTGGGCTGCCAGAGGGCTCTGGGTGTCCATGGCTTAATTGCACGGAATGGCGCTTGTGTGCACCAGAGACTGAAAGTACCAGCCTGAAGACAGAGATACAGATCACAAACTCAGATCTTGCATCTGCTATAAACTTAAGGCAAGGCTTACTTTAGAGAGGAGAGAAGGGTAAACCTCTCTCAGCCTGAGGCTAAATTAAATGTCAGAGAAGATTCAGGGGTTGCACTGCAGTGATGAACAGAGCCAAAAACAGGGCAGAGGGCAGAGGGCAGAGGGCAAAGCTACCTGCTTGTTGCCAGTAACTGAGCCTTGAGAGAGGATTTGCTGCCCTTTAGGATGGAGAAGAAAACAGCAAAACCAGCAAATGATCAGCAAATGGTCAGGGGAAAGCAGGTTGGGTGTGGGGAAGGGGGCAGCTACTGGGGTACCCTGGAGTGCTGGATTTCCCTCCAAGAAGGGATCGATTTATCCCCCTGGGCCTGAAATTCCTTTTCCATGATAGGGTCATTGTGAAGATTACAAATAAATATTGCATTGAGGAGCTCTGCACCCTTGAAATAACTATACAAATCAATTTAATTGTGAAGACGGAGGAGGCATGCTCAGGTCTCTGCGACTTGCATGAGAGACAATCCCATTTCCCGGCTGATCCTGATTTTCTTCTTTCCCGCTCTGCCTCCAGCCCCCAAAGCCCAAGTAACCCTAGATCCAGACACAGCCCGCCCTGAACTCGTCTTGCATGATTGCAAATATGTGGCTTGGAGAACAAATAGCAGGTTCTGCCTGTTAGTTCTGCCTGAGACAAGCCGTTTGTATGGGGTGTGATGGCTCTGCAGCTGTGAGAACTTTCTGGGAAGTCGCCTCGGGAAGGGAGGCAGCCTGTGTTGCGGAGGTTTACCAGGGGAACAGGCCCCGTTCCCTTTTATTCCAGGAAAGACATTTGTGGTGAAGTGGAAACTTGAAAGTAAGGTGCGTGGGTCCTCCTGCCAGTCCCTGAGCGAGCAGCTTAGGAGAAGCCAAGCCCTTTCTGAACTAGGAGGAGTCCTTTGATGGAGCTGTTCTAGCAGACTTGATCCCTGTACGCTCACCAGTCTTGTTTCCAGAAGAAACCGCTTTGCTCAATGTTTATGGATTCCACAAAGCGCCCCCTCCCAACAATTCTCCCTCCCCAACATGCAAAAACTCATTGCAGCGGAGACACAGGGACAAGCTTCTCGTCAGGATCCAAGGAGATCTGCCCTGTCTTGGAAGAAAAGCTGTATTTGCAGAACATCGCCACGCTCCGTGTGCTTCCCCCATCCCCGGGAGCCGATCGCTTTGAGTTGGGAGTGGGGGGCAGGAAAATGCACAGCGTGGCAACATCACAGTGCAAGTTTCCACCAATCTAAAGTTAAGAAGGCATGAGAGGAGGGAGGTCTGACACAGATGTGCGGAGAAAGGGGCCCTTCAGCTCCCTTTGCCCCAGTGACAGAGATTGCGGCCCTCCTCGCTGTGTGCCTTCTCAGTGCTCATTCCAAGATGCTCACCCCAAGCTCGCCTTCCCCAGGCCGAGTGGCCACAAGGCTCTGAGAGAAGGGACCTCACAGGCCCATCTAGTCCAGGGGCAGGAAAACTCTTTCAGGCTGAGGTCTGGAAGCACTTTGAGAGCAACTCTCAGGAGCCACTTTCCAGGGTGGATGGGGCCAACATTTAAAAAACAAACAAAAACGCAGCCTAGTTGAGCTTAAATCTCTTACAGTCCGTAACTCAGACTTAAGAAACAGCTCAACCTTGTGGAATGGGCAGGATACTGAGCAGAAGCTGGGAAGGTACCGAGTGATAAGTGGCTGGGATAAAGCAGGGCGGCCATCTGGAATCTGGCCCCATGGCTGAGGTTTTGCAGCCCTGCTTTAAACAATATTCACCACCATCTGATCGAGTTCAACCACCTTGCCAGTGAACCCCCTCCACCAAAGACCGAGCAAATCATCCATCCTGTTTCCTTGAATGGGAAGCCAGTTGCCTTTGTGTCACCCAAAAAGACAATCACCTGCCCCATTATTGGCCCCTGGAACAGGTATGCAGAGATACCTTTTGTATGAGCGAAGGGGTATAAATTCTATACCAGCTCAGCAGAAATCGGGCACCAAGGTCTTGGGAGTCATTCTCCTCCCTTTGTGATACATTTTGGGCATTATCAGAAATTACAGCCTCAGGGATGCCAGAGACAGCAGAATTGACTTGTTAACAACTGACACCAGGAGTAAATCATTGCCTGCCCCCAAGGACCCACCGGGATGGGCCATCTCCCCACTGGTCACCTGACCAGCGGTGGGGGTGGGGGGATAACAGTGGCGAACAAAGGAGGCTTTTGTTCCAAGAATGCTGTGATGCCCTGCATATTATGATCCTACTGGAGAGAGTTTAGTAGTATTGCTTGGAAAAGGGTTAGCATTCTTGTTTTGGGGTCTGAGTGGTTCAACACGTGCCCAGGATTTGTGGGGGAGGGGGGAGGAGAGGTGCTTGATTGGTGGCAAAATGTACAATTGCTGCTCTCCAACCTCCCTTCCGCCTTTCCTTTTTTCCTCCTTTTAGCTGTAATGTTTTAGCACCCTGCAGTCCTATGCTGTATCCTTTTAATAGACGTGTTTTGTTCCCCATACTGGGGTTGTCGTGTGCTGAATCCAGTGTTTGGGCTGGGAACTGAGGGACGAGGAAATTTCTGGTTGGTCAGGGCATGAGGAATCCCTGATGGCTTTTCATTACACCTGTCAAGCTGGGAGGTCCCATCTAGCACTATTTGGTTACAGGTTTTGATAGCCTCCTCCCGCATCCATTTGTCTAATCCCCTTTCAGAGCCACCTAAGACGATGGCCTTGGCCACCACTATGTTCTCCATTTACTATATACTGTGTGAAGCAGTGCCCTTTCTGATCCATTCCGAATCAACAACCTTTAAATTGGATGGTGCTAATATAAGAGCAGCAATGATTTCCTCCATTGACAGGATCTGGGGCTAGGGGACCTTTGATGTTCCTTCTGACCATGGTTTCTTGTTGGATTGTAAACTGTAGGTTGTTCGTGGCTAACAAATCATGCAGCTGGGTTTGTACACTACAACAGCCTATCAATCAACAACCCATGGTTTCATGCCAACCCACACTCTGGCTTACAAGCTTGTCAGTTCTATGAGTCAGTGGGTGAAGCTAACACTGTTGGACTTTCAACCCTTGATCGAGGTCTGCTTATGGTCACTGTTGAAAAATATGTTGCTGAGCAGAGGCAACGAAGCAGGCAACAGCGCTCTTTCCACTTCCACCAGAAAGCACTTTGATTTCTTTTTCACATTGTGCATTTATATTTTGCCCCTTGTGTCCACACTGCAAGTTCTCCTAGTTCCGTGCACCCGCTGAACAAGGCCCCGCAGTGCCCGGGCCATTTCAAAGCTTCTCGCCTGTGTGGCTCCTCTCATGAAGGGTGAGGTGCGACCGCTGGTTGAAGCTCCTCCCACAGTCTAAGCACTTGTATGGCTTTTCCCCCATGTGGCTTCTCTCGTGGATGATGCTGTACGACCGCTGGTTGAAGCTCTTCCCACAGTGTGAACACTGGTATGGTTTCTCCCCCGTGTGGATCCGCTTGTGCTCGACCAGGGCTGAGCTCCGGCTGAAGCTCTTCTGGCAGTCTGAGCAATGGTAGGGTTTCTCCCCTGTATGCATTCGCTCGTGCCGGATCAAGTGAGACTTCTGCCGGAAGCTCTTCCTGCACTCACAGCACGTGTAGGGTTTCTCCCCAGTGTGTGTCCTCTCGTGCTGGCTCAGGCTGGACCGGAAGCAGAAGGTCTTCCCACACTGGGGGCACCTGTATGGCTTCTCCCCTGTGTGGATTCTTTGGTGTTTGATCAGCTTGGAGCTCTCGTTGAAGGACTTCCCGCAGTCCGAGCAGGCGTATGGCTTCTCTTCCGAGTGGGAGCGCTCATGTTTAATGAGGCTCGACCTGTGGTTGAAGCACTTCCCACAGTCGGGACACTTGTACGGCTTCTCGCCAGTGTGAATGATCTTGTGCGCCATCAGCCACGAGCTCTGGCTGAAACATTTCCCGCAGTCTGAGCAAGCGTACGGTTTCTCCCCCGTGTGGGTTCGCTCATGTGCCATGAGGTTCGCGCGGCGGTTGAAGCTCTTCCCACAGTCCGAGCAGGCATAGGGCTTCTCGCCCGTGTGTGTCCTCTCGTGCGTGATGATGTGGGACCTCTGGCTGAAGCTTTTCCCGCACACTGAGCAGCTGTACGGTTTTTCCCCCGTGTGGGTCCTCTCATGCCTAATGAGGTATGAGCGCTGCTTAAAGCTCTCCTCACAAAAGGAGCACCGGTGCGACTTGTCCGCCATGTCGGCCTTCAGGCCATCAAAGGTCTCACAGAAGGTTCCTGCGCAGTCCGTGCCTTCGGTTCAAAGAAGGGCTCCTTTGGCCATCTCCCCAGGACGGTGCCCCTGCTGCAGCCCAGCTGCCTCAGAGAGTGGGCACAGATGCCTTTCCAGCAATGCCCCATCGAATCCCACGAGGTCGGGTTTCTCCTCTTCCTCCTCTCTTAGCTTCCCTCCTCCCGCTGCAATAAATGAAAATTCATCAGACAGGTAACAGGAACACGAAACCGCTTTATACCGGGTCAGACCATTAGCAAATGTAGCTGAGCACCCTCTAGATCAGGGGTGCAGAACCTCTTCCAGCCTGAAGGCCAAATTCCATTTGGGAGATGCTCTAGGGGGCTGCATACCAGTGGTGGGAGGGGCTGAAGACAAAGAGGGAGGGGCCAAAAACACCACCCTACCGCAGTCTGCAGCTCTCTTCCAGAAACAAACCTTAGGAGAGGCATGCACGGAAGTCACCAAGCAGTGGGTAGTCAGGGGACTGCCTAGGCACATGGATCGTCTACCCAGCAAGCAGGCATCACTGCCAACTTTCTGCAGGGCTTCCAGGTAGTCCTGGACGTTCCCCACCTCTGCTGTTTTGCCTTGCGGGAAGCAACAGGCTCCCTTCCCTCCTGCAGCCTGGGAACCTGAAACAGAAATGAGGACATGGCAGGTTTGGGTCAGATACTGCCGACTGCACCACTGCAGGATCTAAATAGGACCCTCATTGTAATTGGTGTGGTGGGACTGGAGATGGGTCTTGCTCACAATTATTTTGTAGATTCCGGTTTTTTTAATAAAACAATTTATCCCATCTTTTCACAAATGTCTCAAGACAGCTTTTTCAAGGGGATCAGTCCAAAATTCACCTGGGTCAACTGAGCCGGTGCAAGTGAACCTCCCCGGCCCCTCTTCCCCAGAACAGTCCCTTCAGCCCCTCGAAAAGGTTGCACAGAGAGCCTGCTGAATGGGACAGGCTGCAGTGGAGGAGAAGAGGCTCCCCAAAACTCGGGGAGAGGGAGCTTCCCACAAGCAGCACACTTCCACTTGCAGAAGTGCCCTCCCTTTTGCAAATCCTGGATCCAACCCGGGAGCTCAAAGCAGCATGCATCCCAAGTCCGAGCCCAGTACCCAGTAAAACAAGACGGTCGTGCAGCAGGCGCACAATCACTGCTGATGGTCAGCCCTTGAGAGACAGTGCGGTGCAGTGGTGTGTGTGCTGGGCAGGGACTCAGGAGATCTGAGCTCCGATCCCCACTCGGGCATGAAGCTCACAGGGTGACTCTGGACCAGTCACTGACTCTTAGCCAAAGCTACTCCCAGGGTTGTTATGAGGATGAAATGAAGAGGAATGAGGACCAGACAAGCCGCCTTGGCTTCCCTGTGGGAGGAAAAAGGCAGGGTACCCATGAAATGATGGACAAAGCCTCGCCCAAATGAGCCAGGTCCTTGGCAGTGCAATGCAACATGCGCTGTATGAGATGGCCCTGAGGCTCGTCCAGAGGCTGCAGCTGGCAAAGGACACCGTACCTGGCTGCTGCGAGGTGCTGCTCCATATCAGCACCCCAGTGAAACTTCTCCACCTGTTACTCTGCTACTGGGCCAGGTCTCATGTTGTTGTGCTCATCCACAAAGCCTTGAGCGGTATGAGACCAGAGTACATAAGGATGTGCCTTCTCCCTCATCATCCTGCCTGGTCACTGAGGTCTTCTGAAGAGGTGCTCCTGGTGGCCCTGCATGGATCAGAGATCCACCTGGAAACCAGCAGGAGCAGGGCCTTGAGCGTGGTGGCTCCCATCCTATAGAACACCATTCCAGCAGAGGTTCAGGTATATGCCAGTGTTACTTTGTTTCAGAATATGCTGCATTGTTTTCTTTCCGGCAAGCCTTTCCTGACCAATGACTAAACTCCAGCCATTTATTTATTGGATTTATATCCTGCTTTTTTCTTATAACAAACTCAAAACGGCTTACATCCTTCTCCTCCTGCTCTCAGTCTTCTCCCATTTATTACTGCTTTTTGCAGGATTTTAAATTTGCTTCACATCAATAGGACTTCGGAGTGGTGTACAATACATTGCAACACAAATAGAAAAGTGCCGTAAAATGGAAAAAGATCAATGAAACAATGGCTGTAAACCAGTGTGGTGTAGTGGTTAAGATTGGGACACAGGTGACCGAGTTTCTAGTCCCTGCTCAGCCATGGAGCCCACTGGGAGACTTTGCACCAGTCACAGACTCTCAGCACCACCTACCTCACAGGGTTGTTGTGGGGAGAAGATTGAGCGCACGAGGAGGAGAATGATCTAAGCCTCTTCAAGTGCTTGAAAAAAGGGCTGGATAGGAATCTAATACATAAATAAGCAAAGTCTGCAAACAGCTCTCTTTCAATGACTCCCCCAAAGTCGTAAGTCATGCGCAAGGATCCTCGCCTGGAAGGAGTTCACTCAGGGCATTATGCGACGAGACAAGAAACGCCAAGTCCTACAACTCCCAGCATTCCCCAGCCAGGAATGCTGGGAGTTGTAGGATACCGTTCTGTCTAAACACGCACCGCATTGGGCCGTAGGACAATACACACTATTGTGCACAGGCAAACGTGAGCAGGCAGATGTTCGGGCACATGCCAATGAGGCCTTGGCTCCCGCTCCGAAGTCCGCTCCCCTTCCGAGCCTCCCACCTGCAGGGGAGCGCGGGATGGCTTGCTCCCCACCTGCGAGGGAGCAAGGGCGGCCCGCAGCGCCTGCCCACCGACGTCCTCGCCCGGCCCGGCCCGGCCCGCTCCAGGCGCCCGTCCGCCCGCCCCGCCGGCCGTCGCTCACCCACGCCGGGCAGCCGCTGCGGAGCATCCACGAGCGCGCCTCCGCCGCGCACGACGGTCATTACGCCCCAAAGGCATGGCGTGTGGGGAGCGGGGGAGACACCTTCCGGTCTGGGTGGCTTTTCCTCCTCTCTCTCTAGGAGCCTCAACTCGGCTTGTTTAACCGTTTGAGGAGCGTTTTGGTGCTGCCGCCAGTTCACTAGATGCGGTGCGACTGCTGGACAGCGAGGAAAGGCGACTGGAAGAAAATGGATGTTTTCGAAAAGATGGATTGAGATGGATCCGTAAAGGAAGCCACAAGCTGAGCAGAGCCGTCATGGACAGGACGTTTTGGAGGGCTCTCATTTCTGGGGCTGCCCTAAGTTGGAGACGTCTTGATGGCATGTACAAAAAACCCTCAATCACAGCCAATTACTCATCTCCAAAAAACCATTGAAACATCCTGGAAAAAGAGGGTGCGGGTTTGTGTAAAAACTGCCTATGTTAATCTGTATGTAGAAATGCAGATGGAGAGTGTTGGGGAACTCCAGATAAATCCTGGTAGAAAAAGGTTGCTTATATGTGCCTTTGTTTTATAAAAGCAAATCTGCAACATCTCTGCACCTCTTTCTCAGAAAGAACCCAAATTCCAAGACAGGCTTCTGTTTAGTGTTATTTTCAAGCTGTTCCTTTATAAGATTAAATATAAATAATCTTAAACGTCATTTTAATTGTTAATATTATTTGCTTATTTTATCTGGCCAGGGCGACTTATTTTATATTGTTAATTTATTGTATATTTGAATGTTTTGTATTTTAAATTTATGTTGTGAGCTGCCCCGAGGCTTCGGCGAATGGGGCGGCATAGAAATGTTTTAAATAAATAAAATAAATAAATAAGATGGCTACTACCTTTGACTGGAAAAGCTTTTGCAGAATGGGGCTCCCAAGTCTATTCTTGTGCCAACAGCAAACAAAACTGATAAGGTGGCCAGACAAGTTTTCCTAGCAGTATTGCAATCACCTTCATTTGCACAGCAAGATCCACAATAATCCTTGTGCCTGAGTGATCATTATGTTCATTGTTTGTAATCAAGGCTGTTGTATTAAGCCTCCCCTGCAAATCTCCCACATTCTTTTCATTGTGTTCCCCTTATTTTGTCATCATCCACCCTGCTATGTCATGTGACTCAATCTATAAAACACTCTGTATGTGTTCTAAAAGCTTGTAGTTGGCGGCTACGACCACTAGGTAGCATGCTGTTTTAAGTAACTACGGAGGGGGGGCGGTGATCACATGCTGGGGTTCAAGGTGATTCAGTTTTACCCGTGGGTCCTGGCATTCACTCTCGCCATTGATAAAGAGACTCTGACAAGACGTAACTTCAAGGTGCTGGTTTTGTCCAATAGAACCTAACCCAGTGTGGCACCACGGTGCTGGGCAGAACATGCCTCCCCTCAGCAGTCTCGCAGGATTCTGCGACCAGCATCTTTCTTCCTCCAAGCCACTTCCTCCCTTTCTTCAAAGGAGCCAAGAATGGTGGCTACATGGGGGAGGGCCCCCCACTTGTGGAATTATCTCCCCACTGAGGTCCCCCTGGTGCCAACTTTGTTAACCCTTCGCTCCCTCTATGCTGAGGCATGAAAGACTCAATATCCAGGGATATTTAATGGCTTCGTGGGGGCAGCTGTCAGGTGTTTGTAACAGGTCTGCTTTGTATCAAGTATCGTTTTAGCAGCTAAATTGCTTTACATTTTGTATTCTGGAAAATTTTAATGAGTGTTTTTTGTACCATGGTTCTGCTTTTAGGCCATAGAGATATAAATAAATACTGTGATTTAAATAGAAATGCAAAATAGCTCACCATAGTGGGGATTACTGGGGTTCCATCATTAGGAATGGAATGGGAAATAAAACTGCCAAGACCTGACTTCCCTTACACAAATCTTTGCTGCGACTACACTTGGAATATTGTGTTCAGGTCCTTACCCGAAAAAGGCCATTACTGAGCTGGAAAAAGTGCAGAGAAGGGCAACAAAAATGATCAGGGGGCTGAAGCAGCTCTCCCATGAGGAGTGGCTACCATAACTGGGACTGTTAAGTTTAGAAAAATTGTGAGTAAAGGGAGACATGATAGAGGAGTTAAAATAATGCATGGCATAGAGAACATAGAGAAAGACACATTTTCTTCCTCTTACAGGAGTCTCAAATCTGGGGTCATCCCACGAAGCTGATTGGGGGAGGTTTAAAACAGATAAAAGGAAGTACTTTTTCACACAGCATAAACTATGGAACTTGCGGCCATGGGAAGTGGTGAAGGCCCCCAATCTGGGCGGCTTTAAAAAGGGATTGGACAGATTCATGAGGGCGGAGGCTCTCTGTGGCTACTAGCCCCGCTGGCCATGTGTTCCTGCTTGACCAGGGGTGGCAAGCCTGCATTCACCGTTTGCTGAGGAGCTGGGCAGGAGGTGTTGCACCCGTCCTGCTTGACGGATCCTGTGGACAGCAGGTGTGTCACCAGGTGTATGCAGTGCTGGACTAGATGGACCTTGGCTTTTCTTATGTTTTTAGGCTTCTGTGCCCTAAAGGAAGGAGTGGAAGGTCCTTGCAGGTGCAAGGGAACTAATACTGTTTAGGATGGGCATCCCCAGTCAGGATGTTCCTTCTTTTAGCTCTCCAACTATTCCTGTTTTCTAGCTTCTGTACCCCCTTTGGCCAGGGAGAAATTCTGACTGGAGAAGGTGGTGCTGTTGATGGTTGGCCGGACACTGTGGAGAGAGGGCTGGCCTCTCGCTCACTGCAGGTTCTGCAGTGCGGCAAGAGGAAGAGGGGCAGGAGCAAGTGGGGCTAAAACCTCTGAAGTGCCTCCAAGGTCGCTCAGTGGAGGTTCTTGCCCTTGGGGAAGAGGTGGGTTTCCAGGAGGGAAGGGGGAGCAAATGTGGGACCCAGTCCATGACCCAGTGAGGGGCCTTGGGAGAGCTGAGCTGCTCAGCTGCAGGGGCTCCATTGCCCTCCAACAGCCAAACCACCCCCCCTCCACACACACACACACCCCAAGGTTGAAGCCTGACTGATAGGGAGGGACAGAAGGGAAGCTTCCGGTTTGAGTTCAGCTCTTTACACGAGCAGAGGCTTCTCCTTCCAGCTTTGGTAAAAGGCTGTCCAACTGCTACGTGAACTGTGGAGCTTTGAGAAGAGAATTATGTTTCAAAACATTGTCTTGAGTTTGGGAATCTGAGAGAAGGAGGGAAAGGAGTAGGAAAGCAGTCTGCCTGCTGCACTGCCTCATCCCAAGTTGTTTAAGCTAACAGTTTGCCTGTGCAACCCCCCCCCCCCCAGTGAGCAACCCAGTTGCTGTGCTCTGAATGGCACATGCGGGCCCCTGGCACAGAGCACCCTGCAGCAGCCTACCTGTGAGGTCACGGACCATTGTGCCTCAGTTATCCCTGCCCAAGAATGGGCATACTTGGTGTGCCAACCATAGTTGTTGCTGGTTGCTCAGGGACACCAAGGCCTCCCATGACAGAGCCAGATCCCACAAACAATTCACCTGTTGCTTCAGGAGCAGAGTAACTCCATCCAGAACAGGGAAAAAGCCTGTTCTAATTCCTGGGCCTGAGAGCTGCCAAGCCAGAGAGCAGCTGTCTCACCAGGGTTCAGCTTCAGTTAGTTGCTCTTGCCAATCCACATGTGCACTGCACATGTGGTCCTGATGTTATCGAGAAATGGCGCTGGATGGCATCATTGCACTGGGGACCCTTGCCTCAGATTTCCTGACCCACCCTTCCCATGGCTTCATGCAGATATTAAATAGCACCAGGGACAAGACGGTACCCTACAGCTCAGCTGTCAAGAATTGAGGTGCAGTCGCCCCATGTTCTCTCTGGAGCCAACCCCCTTCCCAGTATAAATTGGGTAATGCATAAGACTGCATCCAACTCTCAACTCACAAAGGCAGTCCAGGAGGATACCAGAGTGAACCGAATCAGAAGCCACTGAGAAATCCAGAAGTAACATGGTCACACTTCCCTCGTCCCTCTCCCAAAGGTCTTCCAAAAAGAGGACCAGGCCCACCTCCTTCTCAGAACCAGACCTGAATAGATCCTGATAATCAGTTGCTTAATTCACAAGGCCACCATTCTCGCCAGCATCCTACTCAGGAGCAGGCCTGTTTGTCAGCAGACGGTGTTTGGCATAGATCTCCGGATCCAGGGAGGACGTCTCCAAAAGTGGTCGCACCACTGCCTATTTCGAGGCGCTGGGAACCCTCTCTCAACTAGGGCGGGTAGGCCAGGCATCGCTAGGGCAACTAGGGCATTTTGCAAGCGCTCCCCTGGGAACCTGCAAAAGAGGCCCCGGTGGAGCCCTGCAAGTCTAGGACGCCCAAAAGGGCGCTTTCGCACGGTGATGGAGAAGCGGGGGGAGAGAGGAGGAGGCGCCTCTACGACGGCTCTCTCGCCCAACGTCTCGGTCTCTCTAGGAACCTGCACTCTCTGCCTATCGACCCCACCCACCTCCCCAAAATGCCAGTGGGGGGGGGCGAGAGCAGGTGGGGGGGCGCCAGGCGGAGAAGCTCCCCAGCCCCGCCGGGGGTGGGGAGCCGCGCGCGCCGGGTCGTCCGAGGCGGAGAGCGTGAGACCTTGGCTGTGGGACGAAGGTTAGAGCATGCAGAGCGCGCAGGTAGAGGCTGCGCCAAGGTGGGTGGACGAGCCAGCCGGGGAGGTGGGACCCAGTCGCGGGGGAAGGAAGAAAAGATCAGAGAAAGCAGGAAATCCGTGGCGGGGCCGCGGGACGGAGCTGCGCCGCCAGCGGGGACGGGAGAGAGGCTCGCCTTCCTGCACCAGCCTAGCCCTGCCTTCCCCGATCCTCCGCAGCCGAGGGTGGCGAGCACGCCGGGCGTCCTTCTGCCGCCCCGAGATCCGGAGAAGGGAAGCCGCTCGGATGGGAAGCCGCGGGGCTCTCGGAACGAAGCGGGGAGATTCCTTTTCTGCAGCCCCGTGCCTCGTTCCTCAGAAGTAAGCCCATGGTGGGCAAGGGGATCCCGGGGACTGCAGCCTTCCAGCGCAGACCTGGGCATGTCTGCTCAGGAGGAATCCTGCACTGAGCTGGCATGGACTTGCGCCCAGGTGAGTGCGCGCGCATGAGCATGTGCTTTAGGATTGCGACCTTCCCCTGAGGGGGTAAGGCCCAGTGAACCGAGTGAAGCTTCCTTCTGAGTTGATCTATGTCGAGGAAGGTACTGTTGGAGCCTGATTATGCTGTCAGGAGTTAGTGTGGCGCATTGGTTAGGCTGAACTCGGGGCACAACCCCAGCCAGGCCAGCCTGCCCTAGTCTATCCAGATTCAGATACTTGCTGTTGGCTCTGAAGCCAGCTTGGTCCCTTGAGCCAGGTGCAAATATTTAAACTAACCTACCTTGAAGGGTTGTTGTGACGATAAAAGGCAGGGGCTGGGAAAGTATATAAGCTGCCCAAGGTCTTTTAAGAGTGAGCGGGATGAAAAGGTAATGCAAAGCACTGACTTTGTACAAATGCAGTGTAAAGGTTAGTTCTGTGCATATCTACTTTGAAGTAAGCCCACTGATATCAGCAGGGGCTACTCTCAAGTAAATATGTTGATGATTGTAGCCTATTTGTGTATTTAAAATCCTGTGACTCTTTAGAGCTGAGGTAAACTTAAGCTTCTGTTTGGTTCAAGTCCCAGCTGGCTTGGCTTTGCAAGGAAAATTACACATAAGTTCTGTTTGTTTATTATATTTATATCCTTCCATTTTTTCTTCCAAGGAACTCAAGGCAGTTTACCTGATTTCCTCTCCTCCTCTCAGCCTCATCCTCACACCAACAACCCTGTGAGGTAGGTAGGGCTGAGAGTCTGTGACTGGCCCGAAGTCACCCAGTTGGCTCCATGGCTGAGCGGGGACTAGAACCCAGATCAGCTGCATCCCAGTCCCACTCCACTCTTAACCACACTGGCTCTCAGTTTTGACTCATAGTCCACCTAATCCTTGCTATATGTGGGGATTATGCTACAGGCGAAATGCTGTAAGTAAGTAAGTAAATAAATAAGTAAATGTTCCTGTCACCATAGGATTCACAACCTGAAATATAATGTGCACCAAGAGCTCCATATAAAAGTCCAGTAATCCCTCCCTCTTGTTTGACCAACTCCCAAGGGAGACCCCTTCTGCCACCTCACATCCCTAATTTCAGAGCATGCAAAGCCAGACTAGTTAATTTTCTAGCCTTGCAACTCTTTCCCACATGGTGATAGAACAAGCAGAGGCAAGAAAGGTTGTCAGCCGACCAAGGAAAAAACGAGCTTGTCTGGTTTTTTTTTTTTTTTTTTTTTTTTTTTTTCGGGCTACTTGCCATAAAAGTTGAGGCACATGGCAGGGGTGTTTTTTCCCTGCTAGCTCCCCCGCCCCATTTTTTTTTTTTTAACAGAACATGTCACGTGTATTGATAGCTTTTGCTCTGAGATGTATCTCCTGGCTCACCAAAATAAACTGTGTTTTGTGTTCCCCCCACCCTACCCAGCCTCCCCCACTGGATTCAGTAACACTCCCAAAATTGTTTAAAAAATTGTTGAAAATGAAGGCATGGCTGAATTCATTGTGGGAGCCTGCTACTCCTGTGGGATGTACTTCCGGGTATATGTACTGAGATTTGCACCTCCTCTTAGGAATCTTCAAGTATGCCCCTAAAAGGCTCTAGGATTTTGTGCTAATGGTTGAGCAAGGCAGGTCCCATGGCTGCTGGGAAATATTTATATTTGTTTATTTATTTATTAAAAACTTTTTTTTATTCTGTCCTTCTCTAGAAGTCTCAGGATGGTAATACAGTCAGGCAGTAAAAACACAGCATCAAACATCAATTATCAACAATAAAACCCATGTTTAAAAGAGCATCAAAATTTAAAATATTGGGAAAATAAAACAGGTTGGGCCTGGCGCAGAAATTAATACAGTGTCAGCGCCAGGTGTATCTCTCTAGGGAACATGTTCCATCAATACGGTGATGTCCTCTTGCTTAATCAAAGGGGTTAGGCCTGCCTTTCCCAACCTGTTGTCCTCGAGATGCTTTGGACTACAACCAGTGTAAGCTACAAGTTTTGGCCGGTCAGCACCCCTTCAGTGCTGGGACCCCTCCCTCCAGTGCCATTGTCTCCTGTGCCTCTTCATCACAGCTATTGCATTCTTGCTTGACAGGCGAGCAGGCAGGCCGTGGCATCCGCTGCTTCTCTCCTCCTCCTCCTCCTCCTCCTCCTCGTCTCTGGCCTTGTCTGGGCCAGAGCGGAGGGCAGGTGAACAAAGCAGGTTGCAGCGGTGAAGAGAAGCAGGTCCTGGTGCTTCCGGTCAGTGGCCCCCTACTGGGTTTGCACCTTCTACAGGGGTCTGATCCTGCCTGTCTTTGATGCCAGCCCTGCCCCCTCGCATCTCTGACCATTGGCCACATTGTCTGAAGCTGGTGGCATCTGCAAGTCCGAATTATTAGGCAGGTTGGGTTAGGTGAATTCACGGGGGACAAGAGAACCCTCACAGGCTGTTAGCCATGATGGGGCAGTGGAAACAGCTCCAGTTGCTGAGGGCTCGGAATGGATGTGAGGCAAACACCAGTTGCTGGAGCCAATACTTGACTCAGTGGGCGTTTGTCCTGACTTGGAGGACCCTTTGCTGCAATGGGATTCTAACTCTGGAAGAAGGCAAGATGACAGAGCCTTGTTCCTCCTTAAGGCGCCCTTGCTTGCCTGCTCTTTAAAATGGAGGGGCCACGAATTCAGATATGGAACCCAACATGTCCACCATCCAGCATCAAGTTCCCAGGACTAGCGGCATGCTGAGTGGTGCAGCTCAGGCTGGGACTTGGGCCCGGAGTCCAGAGCCATTCAGCACAGGGTCTCCAAAGGTCTACCCAGAAGGTGACAAGGAGAGGGAGGCAGACTCCAGTCCCTGTAATTGTGAATGAAGGTGCTCCAATTTAAGCAAGTTTGAAATGCTGGATGGTATAAATTAAGAATATGATTATTATTAAAAATCAGGGCTGGTGAACTGTGTTGTTGGTCTAACACAAGGCATGTTGGTTGTAAAGAGGGCATGGCCATTGTGTCTATTTCAGTTGCAAAACACACAATTTTTCTTCTAACTGTGTGTTTTGCGATTGAATGGCTGTCTGACAGAGGGACCTATAAGGACAGTGTCTAAAACCAAGCTACACCAAACAAACATATGACAAAAAATCAGAGGTTTTGTGATGCTTGCTGTCATCAGTTTGATTGTGCATGCATATGTGTAAATTTGTTTGAATGAAATTAAGCAATTTTTAAAATCTTTGAACAATTTCTAATTTCTGGTAATCTCACACAAGTAAAAGGTTAAATACTGATAACCTGCCCAATCATCTTGTTGATTATTTACTTTTTAAAAATGTGTGTGTTTTTGTTTTTTGTGTATATGCTTGTATGTTTATGCTTTTTATAATATATTTTTATTTATTTCTATGCTATCCCATATCCAAAGGCCAGGGTGGTTTGCAATTCATAGAATTCAATAAAATGCAGTACAAAATAAAAATACAATAAAAACATCATAGGATTTCTCTACAATTTTTAAAAATGTATTTAAACAACTAAAATACAACTAGTCCCGTTAAAAACAGCAGACAAGCCACACTGTACCCCATATACCATTAAGAGCCATTAAATGCTCAGCACAGAGGATGATCTTAACCTGGTTCCAAAATCATAGCTATGTTGGCACCTGGTGGGCCTCAATGGGAAGATTGTTGTATAACTGGGGAGCCACTACTGAGAAAGTTTTAATCTTTTTAAAGGTTTAATCTTTGTAAACTGCCCAGAGAATTTCAGCTACTGGGGCTACAGAAATGTAGTAAATGAAATGAAACAAATGAAACGATAGTAACTAGGCAGCCTGAGGCTCACCCTTCGAAAATAGCTAGGCAGGTCAGGCCTGTCTGGGCCTACCCTGAATTTCACCTCTGACTCTTCTTACTTTCAGGACAGGATGTGCAGCTGAGGATAAAGCTGGAAGACCAGGCCAGAACTGGGCAAATTCCAGAGAAGAACATGGAGGAAGGAGACTCTGAAACTGGGACTCTTGGAACGTTTCTGTCTGAGGTTGAACCCCAACAAATTAAAGGAGAGCCAGATGAGGATACACAATGGCATGATTTCCAGACAGGAATTTGTAGAGAAGGCGGCAAATCACTGCTTCCAGGATCTGCAAGCTGCGATAATACATTTCTTTCTGCATCATGGAAGGCTGTTGCTAATGCCAGCCAAGGGCCTAGAGGAAAGTCAGTGTCTGAAAACCTGCTAGGCCTTGGTAGAAAAGCCCATGAGATCCCTGAAAGTCGAGATTCTCCTGTGAAAGAAAAAGAAGAGGTTCCAGAGAAGGATATGATCAACTTGGAGACACTGCGCCAGCGATTCAGGCACTTCTGCTACCAGGAGGCTGAGGGACCTCGAGAGGCATTTGGGCATCTCCAGGATCTTTGCCATCAGTGGCTAAACCCAGGAAGTCACACCAAGGAGCAGATCCTGGAGCTGGTGATCCTGGAACAGTTTCTGGCTATCCTACCCTCAGACATGCAGAACTGGGTTAGAGAGGACAACCCGGAGACCTGTGCCCAGGCGGTGGGTCTAGCAGAGGACTTCTTGCTTTGGAAGGAGGAAGCTGAAATACAGGAAGGGCAGGTAAGCTGAAGTCACTTTGGCCACCCCGGGTAACTCTTGATGTACAGCCAGGGCGTCTTTGCTCTGTTGATCTGTTGCTGGTGATTGGTTTTCCATCTGGTCATGGTATCCTGGAAAGTTTTGAATTGGAAAACTCAGAATCTTTTCTGGAAATTTTAGCCATTACTCTGAATTGATTGAGATCAGATACATGGTGTTTTTTGACTCCTAATTAGCAAAAGGATGTTTTAAGAGATGTCATGTTAATCTGACATGCTGTGTGTGCAGGTGTGTCCTCTCCCAGCCAAGAATAATTGAACTAAAATGTTCACTAAAACACAGTATAGTCTTATCCATGTCTACACAGAGGTAAGTTCAGTGAGAGCCAGTGTGATATAGTGGTTAAGAGCATGGGATTATGACTTAGGCAATCTGGGTTCTAGTCCCCACTTGGCCATAGAGCCAACTGGGTGACTGCACCACTTACAGACTCTCAGCCCAACCTACCTCACAGGGTTGTTGTTGTGGGGATAAAATTGAGAGCAGCAGGAGGAGAATGATATAAGCTGCTTTGTGTTCTTTAAAAAAAGAAAAAAGTGGAATATAAATCAAATAAATAAATACTAAGTTCCATTGACTTCAGTGGGACTTGGTGTCATTTACACACTTATCTGGGAGTAAATTCTGTTGAACATAATAGGACCTGCATCTAAGCAAGCATGTATAGGATTACCCTGTTAGAGTTGTTTAAATGTTAACGTCAAACAAATTCCACACTTTGGTTAAAAATCCTTTTATTGGACCATTGCCAAAATTTTAAATCAAAACATTTCAAGTATGTGTTTCCCTTATATTGCTAAGTTTTTAAGAAAAAAGAAATGAAGCCACTGGAAATTCCAAACTTTCTAATTTGAGCATATACCAATAAGTTGTGTAGATAAATAGAGCTGCTTGTGTTTGTGCTTATGTCTTGCAGGTTCTTGCTTCCTAGGGATAGTCATTTGTTAAAATGTTAATTACAAGGTTCGGCTTGTACTATAAGCATTTCAGTTGCTCAGTTTGACTGCATCAGTTTATTGCATTCTTTTTTTAAAAAATTGAAATTATGCATTTCTAAAAATTGGGGAAATTTTCCATTTCCCACCTCATTTCAGTCCTTCTCTCTTTCATGGGTCTTTTATGCTTGCAGGACCCCAGCATTAAGGCCTAAACCTGTTTGCCGAGGAGCAAGTCACTTTGAACTTAGAAGGACTGACTTAATGCTAGCCTCATTTATTGCAACGCGAGTCTTCTGTGTACTGCACAATTCTGCAGTTCCTGAGAGGGTGTCCCAGGGTCCATAGGAGGCCCCCCAATGCTTTTGGAGCAGGTCCATTATCAGAGGAGGGCCAACATTCGGAGCCTCTTCATTCAGGCAGAAAGCTCCAGTGTTACTGCTTTGTTTCAGGAGTGGATTGCAGGAATCAACTGGATCCAGGGCATGCCTGTTCCCCTGCCAAGTGGAAAAAATAGTACCATCCTGGAGTTGGTGCAGGTTTTTTTCCTCATATTGCTTCCAATGGGAGGGCAAACCATTTTTACAAAGATCTTCCACAGCTGACACAAAGATCAAAGGAAGAGGGAAAAAACTTCCTTCCCCCTGGTTAGTCACATGGTCGGTACAGGCACAGCAGGTTTTGGATTGGAGGGTTTGGGGCTTTTTTTTGCTGTGTATTCCCTCCATCATCTTTTGGAGTACCTCCTGGAGGTCCCTTGGGTGGGACACCCTTTCCCCCACCAGATCTGGCCTCTCAATGCCACTGTCACCTCCTCCCTCCGTCCACTTCCCCTTCCTCGTGGCATGCGTGCCCGGCAGAGAACCAGGGAGCGAGCTGGCCATGGCATGTCCTTCCAACTCACCACTGGCCTTCCCTGGGCCAGAGCAAGAGGCGGGTGAATTGCAATGCCAGCAGTCACAGTGCTGAGGAGGAGGAAAAGCCACTCCAGAAGGTTAGGGGACGAGTGGCTGGAGAGCAGCACTTGTGAAAGGGACCTCGAGGTGCTGGTTGACTGCAGGCTAAACATGAGTCAGCCGTGTGATGCGGTGGTCAAGAGGGCGAACGCCACCCCTGGTTGCATAGCCAGAAGCGTGGCTTCTAGATCGAGAGAGGTATCACTACCACTCTGTATGACTCTGATGCACCCGCAACTGGAGTATTGTGCTCAGTTTTGGGCCCCTCATTACAGAAAGGATATAGCCACGTTGGAGTCAGTGCAGCGTAGGGCCACAAGGTTGGTGGCTGGTTTGCAGGGGATGGGGTATGAGGCGAGACTGAGGGAACTGAGTCTCTTCAGCCTGGAGAAGAGGAAACTCAGAGGGGATCTGTTGGCGACATACAGGTATGTGAGGGGATGTCACACGGAGGTGGGTAGAGACCTGTTCTCCCCTACAGAGGAAGGCAGGATGCACTCCAACAGAGCAAAGCTCAGGGGACCAAGGTTCAATTTGGATGCCAGGAGGTACTTCCTGACAGTTAGGACACTGAGGGTGTGGAATGGGCTTCCACGGGAGGTGGTTAAGACCCCATCGGTGAGGGTGTTCAAAGATAGACTGGACATGCACATGGCGGGCATGTTGTGAGCGGAGCTGGCTGGAGCCGGAGGTCAGACTAGATGGCCCGGAAGACCCCTTCTGACTCACTCTGTTTCTATGTTTCAGTGGGCCTCAGCTGTGGGACGTGCCCAAGCATGCCTGCTGTTGACCTCAGCTCTGCCCATGGACCCTCCCCAAATGCCAGTGGTCCTTCAGGAAAACATTACTCTCCTCGCACCTTGTTTCCCGGTAGCATGCTGGAATTCTGGCAATGGAGTTCAGTCTATCAGTGACAGGGTAGCAATGTGAGGTGGGGTGTGGCTCATGCAGGGTTTGGGGGGGGCAGTGTGATTCCCCCCACCCTCCACAGTTCCCCATCCACACTGCATCCAGTTTGAACCAGTGTGGTGCAGTGGTTAAAAGCACAGGACTGAGACTCAGGCATTCCGGGTTCTAGTTCCTGCTTGGCCGTAGAGTCAATTGGGTAACTCTGGGCCAGTCACAGACTCTTAGCCCGGCCTACCTCACTGGACTGTTGTGAGGATAAGACTGAGAGGAAGAGGAGAATTCTGTAAGCTACCTTGAGTTCCTTGGAAGGAAAAAAAGCAGGATCTAAATACAATAAATAAATAAACCACAACATCACAGAGCTAGCAGTGGTAAGCAAAAGAACAATTCAAGTGATCATACAGCTTTATTTTGGTAGAATCGCCTCACTTTTCTCTGTTGTTGTTATAATTCGCTTATCAGTATTAGCATTGTTACCTTCCCCAGCATATAGAAGGCCTGCCGGATCAGACCAAAGCCTACCCAGACCCAGTATTCTGTTTCCAGCAGTGACTCATCAGATGCCTTGGAAATCCACAAACAGGGCACTAGATCAGTGGCTCTCCCCTGCTTGTCTCCAGTGGCTGGTACTTGAGGCTCCGCTGCCCCTGGGCATACAGGTGCCATTCAGTGTCAGGGACTGTCTTAAGGAATAGCTTTGTATGTTGCCTTTGGGCTAAAAGGTGGAGTACTAATGCCATCTGTTCAATTTCATTTATTCCTCTTCTGTACCGCCCAATAGCCAAAGCTGCCTGGGTGGTTAAACACCTTAAACATACAAGATAAAATCCATCAAGATACAACATACAGAAAGACACACATTTTTTTTTCAAACAAACAAGAAGAGAATTCATACATGCCTGGAATAAGGCCTGAATCTGCTGCTGAAATGCTAACAAGTTCTGGTGCCTGGCAAGCTTCATCAGGAGGATCAGTGCCATAAACAAACAAACAAACAAACAAAGGGTCTATTATACTCCTCCATTAGTTGTTTTCAAGTTGTGTGGCCATCCTTTCCTCTAACAGCAAACCTGGATAGTGGTGCTGAGAGCAGTGGACCCAAAGCAGGGCTTCTGAAGAATGAGGGTGATACCGTGGTACTTGGGGAAATGCCCAAGTTTGGCTAAAGTGTGTGTGTAAAAAGCTTAAATCTTAAGCAGAGTGAAAAACCTTAAACAATCCAATGACTGGATTCAGAGGATTGAGTGTAGGTTATTGTGTTGTTTGAACCCAGCTGTGATAATAAGCCAAGCCTTTAAGTTTTATAGCTGGCCTTTGCTTTCCCTCCTTCTACACTTGAGATGTATAAAGCAGTGACTGGGTTCACACAGCATGATAACCCAGACTAAGAGTTAAGTATGGGTTGTCACCGAGTCATAGGTTGTTGTTGAAGTAAGAGTTATCATGTGGTCTGAACTCAGCTGCACTATCAAGCCATGGTTTGTTAACCATGAAGAGTCTGTGAAGAGGACCCATGGTTTGTCATTGGGTCATTCACCATGGTTTGCTATCTTGGCTGGGTTCAGGCAACACAATAACCCTGGTTTGAGCAATAACCCTGATTCAGTGACAACCCACACTCAACCACTGGATATTGCATTACCTGAACCCAGTCAAGCTAGGACTGAGTCCGTTAGGCCCAGGATGCTGAATGGAAACAGAACATGAAAAGCCAGAAGTGCAATTTAGACTGGTGTGAGGCTCACTGGAACCGTGATGTGCTCCAAGGCAAAATTCACTACAGCTTTTATAAAACTTCAGTGAAATCTCTACAAGAGACACACTGCAACATCTGAAAACCAATCTTCCTGCCTTTCTTGAGATCTACCCATCTGACTGACTGCTTCTGACATCCAGATCCTGAACAAGACAGACATTGGCCTTGATCCAACAAGGGATTCTTATGCTCTTCCAACTCTTCTTAAGTCTTCACACTTGTGTTTCAGCTGCCAGAGCCTTTGGAGAAGGGGAGGGGTTCCCCCAAAGAGGAGCAGACTCACTTGGATCCTCTGAAGGTGCAGCCCTACCTGGAGGCTGAGCAGAAAGGTGACAGGAAGTCCCACTTGCCAGGTAATGCCTCACCAGCTTCACAGACGGGTGCCATCCTATGGAGAGAAGCCCAAGCCTCCAACCACAGGGCCGCAAGCGCATCCAGTGCAGCGTTGGAGCTGCCGCAAACTTGGTTTTCACCTCTCTCTTCTGCATGTGCCACACTTTTTGCTGCTCTGCCCTTTGTGGCCTTCTAGTGACAGTGTTTCAAAGGGGAAAGGAGGGCAGTCGGAGTGGCTTTAGTATGCTTCAGATGCCGAGGTTGGCATTTGGCCTATCCTGTGGCCCCTCGGACCGTGTCTGGACACCATCAGATCCTTTCCTAAGTTGGCTGCTATGTCGCCAGCGCTCTGCTTTACTGGTTGCTAAAGGCTGTCCCTTTTGTATCTCACTAAAATAAAGAGCTTTGACTGTTAGGCAGTAAGGAAATTGAATGAATAAATAAATAAAGCTTAGTTGAGAGCCGGAGTAGGGTTAAAGTCAGGAATCTTGGGGGATGTGGGTTGTAGTCCCCACTCATCCATGGTGCTCACTGGTTGACTTTGGGCTGGTCATTGACTCTCAGCCTGGCCTGCCTCACAGGGTTGATGTGAAGATTCAAGGGAGGAGGAGGATCTGGGAGAATGTGGTGCGTTCCCTGGATGAGAAGACTGGATATGAATAGAAGGCACAAATAAATAAACGATGGAAGAGTAAATGAGACGGATCAGCTTTTGGAGGGGTGCCAATGGATGGCGAGGGCAGTTCTGGCTGCACTTGGTCTTCCAGGCCTCCGTCGGCAAGTGGGAGAAGCTGCTGCCCACGCCTGGCAGAAGGGGTGGCTGCAGGTGCCTGGGCAGGAGAAAGCCATAGCAGCCCCCTCACCGCTGGGCAGCTGCCATTCTTGCCACCTGGGAGAGGGTGCAGTGGCTCCTTCTCGCCCACATCAGTAGCAGGTCTGAGGTTTGGTAGCTGCCCCCTCCCCACCCCACCCCCCAGTGCAACGCAAGGAAAATAACGTCATTCACAGAATGTGTCAATATCCTTTTTTACGGAGGAATCGCACAGCCTGGTCCTAACTCTGATAACCCTATTAAATCCAGTGAAGAGTTTCTTTACACTAGGAATAGTTAGGTTTAGGGCACGGGCATGGCTCGTAGCCACCCAGAGCATCGTTGGAGGTCCTTCTCCGGGAGCCACTGCGAAGGGATAGAAGCCTTTTCAGCCTTTTCAGCTGTGGCACCCCATCTGTGGAACCAGCTCCTTGGAGAGGTGCACCTGGCACCCGCCCTTTACACATGTAGGCACCAGGCTAAAACCTTTTCATTCTCCCAAGATTTTAACTATTGAAAATTGTACTGTTATTTTATATTTTATTACAGAACAGTGGATTATTTATCAATTCTTATTGTTTTTATATTTTACTTTAATTGTTATTATTGAATGCCTTTTAGTATTATTATTGATTATTGGATTAGTATTATTATTGTACTTTGCTTTTTTATTGTTGCTATGTTGAGTTATTCTTATATTTTAATTTTGTAAACTGTCCAGAGAGCTGCTAGGCTAATAGGAATGATCTTAAAACATTTAAAATGTTTTTTAAAAAGCGAATAAATGATGGTCCTGGACTACAGACCCCATCATCCCCAACCATTGGCATGCTGGCTGAGTCTGATGGGGATAGCACTCCAGCAACATCTGGAGGGACTTCACTGTCCTGGGGCATTTCCTTCCTCTTGCCCCTTGGAGGACAGTGCAGAGAGAAATTTGGGAGGGAGGGAAAGGTCTGCTTGGCTTACTCTTTGCTGAGGGGCAATTAATTAGCGAAAAAACACTCATAAGGGAGAGACACGCCCAGGCAGCCTGACTGAGGATGGAGAGTGTTCAGTGGCCACGGAATAGTGGCTGGCAAGCCGTGGCAGTGGGAGGAAAACCCAGAAATCCAGGTGGCCAGCGGGATGGGGCAGCCTTCAGAGCTGTCACGTCTGTCGCAGGTCCTTTCTGCAGACCCTCTTTTGGAAGAAAGCAGGAACATGTCTTTTGGCCGCAGGATGCAAAACTTGTGGCAAGCCATCCTGCATAATTGCCGAGAGCAGGGCAGAGTCTCCCTGCAAACTGCCCCTCGCCATAATAAAAAATAGAAACAAACATTTAGCAGCTGCAAAAATAAAACCTGCTTTTGAAGGTTCAGAATTGAACGTCTGAAGATGTCTGTGAGACTGGATTTGGCCTCGTGTTCCTCGTGAACGCTCCCTCTCGGGCGGTGGGCTCAGGAAGGGAAAGTGACATGTGTGCGGTGCGAGATTGTGATACCTCTCAGGAGGCTTGTTGAGGAGACACTGAGGGCCGGATGTAGGCAGCTGGCAGGGCAGGCAGAACGCCGGGACCGGGGCGCTGGTGCGAGCCCAGACTCTGCGGCTTGAGGCTGGCAGCGCGGTCAACTGTCCGGGGTCAGAAACAAAGCAGGAGGCAGACGGATATTGCAGGAGGGAGAGGGCGAGCATGGCAGGGACAAACTGCAAACAAGTGGAGCAGGCAGGATCAAGCTGGAGCAAGGCAGGGGCAGGGCCCCAGGCGTGGTGATACAGAGGGCCAGAGAGATACAGAGTGATCCGGAGACAGCTTGCGTTGTGTGGTGGAGAGCAGCAGTGCAAAGGAGCCTTTTATCTCGGTTTCCGGGGCCCCAGCTGCACTTCATGCATGCCCCTCGGCCGGTCCTTGGAAAGACGCTTGCAGGGCTGGCCAGGTCCCTAGTCCTGACAGACGCTGGAGGAGAGGCACAGAGGCAGGGTCTGCATCAATGGTAGGAACGGCGGGGCACCTGCCAAGGGCCCACATCCCTGCGGGGACTTACAGGCAGACTCCCGTGGAATCGCTGCTCTCCTCATCATGGCAGCCGGCTTCTTCACCTGCTTGTGAGTAGCCCAGACAATGTGGCTGTGAGGAGGAGGAGGAGCAGATGCCATGGCCATGCACTCGCTGGCTCTTTGCCTGTGAAGAAAGCAAGAGAAGAGAAAGGAGCTGAGAGAAGAAAGAGGAGGAGGAGGGCTGCAGCAGCTGGTGAAAATGGTGGCGGGAAAGTTGGCTTGCTGAGGGTGGGTGCCTTGCCCAAGGGCCCAGGAAAACCTAGAGCTGCCTGTGGATGGAGAAGCTGAAGGAGAAGGAATGAAATGAGGTGACTTGGAAAAGAACCGGCTTTGGGCACCAATCCATTCTGCAGATGGTTTTGCAAACCACTGGCTTTCCCCGAGCTCTCCCCCTGGTCCTGTCTTGGATGAGATGCTGGGCAGGACTGGACAGTGATCTGCATGAGCCCCACAGTGGCACAACCAAGCATGTTTTGGATGGTCACTGGATCTGGCATTTGAGAATCCCCATTTTTAGAGCTGGCGTGACCTGATCACCACCCGAGGGAGGGTCCAAGTGGTGGAGCCCATGCAGGTTTTGACCCTGCATCTCCCGTTAAACAAATCAACAGTTAGGGAAGGTCCTTTCTCTCTACCCTTGAAGTGGAGGCAGCTTCTTAGATTTCTGTATAAGATTTTCCATGGCCAACTGGAGGGCTCCCATTTTCCTGCAAAGGACCCCTTGACTCATAGAAGTGTGGTAAAGCAGTTCTTTAATCTCCTTTCGAAGCCATCCATATTGGCAGCCATCTGTACGTCACACAATAGTGCATCCCACAATTACGTTGTGGGTGTATTAACTGTAGTTGTATGTGTCTGGATGGAGCTGGTTGTTCTGCTGGGCTTCCTGCTTTGGAGACGGCTGAAGCTGTTCCATACAAAGTTCTTGTGGATGCGCTTACCTGCTCCCTCTCTGGCACACCTCCACAGGGTCCGTCTGTCAGACCGTTCCATTGGCCGAAGGGCCAGTTCTTGCAGTGGCCAATCTCTGCAGGCCTCAACAGTGCCATCCGAACACTTGGGGTTTGTAGTGGTTGCAGCTGATACAAGAGGGACTCTGTAAATGGGCTCCTCGGCAGACATACCAACCCAGCACATGGGTGTTGAAGCAGGGAGGGTGGGTCAGCTAGATGGATGCAGGCCTTGATCCTCCCACTGCATCTCCTTGGTGCATGTCTCCACCATAGGGCTTTACTCATTTCATTCTTCTCTTCCTTCCACCAGGTGGTGGGAAGGTGGCTGCGAATAAGCATCTTGAGCCCGAAGTCTGTAAGCAGAGGAAAATGGACGGAGATTCATTGGACAAAGCCAAATGGGATGTTTTCCAGTTTTCTCAAATTGAAAACATGCCAAAATGTCAAAAGGAAACAGGGAAAAATGAAAGAAGTAACCCAGGAGAAAGAGGAGGAAAATGTGTTTGGGAGAAAGATGGCAACACCATCCTAAACAAAAGCACTTTTCAGAACAGAATCCAGAAGGATAAGAATTGCTCCCAAAGCTTCAGCCAAACTCAAACTCAGAAGGAAAAAAGGCCAGACCAATATGTAGATGGTGGAGCAAACTGGAAATCAATCCCTCAGCAAGAGAACATCCAAATGGAAGAGGAGGCATATATGGATTGTGGAACCAGCTTGCGTCAGAAACCGCTGCTAAGTAATGCTCATGAAATCGCAGTAGGAGAGAAACCATACAAATGCTCTGAATGTGGACACAGCTTTAGCCAGGGCTTCAGTGTTTCTGGAAACAATTTTCATATATGTTCCAACTGTGGAAAAAGCTTTATCTCTGACTCAGTCCTTGGAAAAAAAGAGAGAATACATCTAGGAGACAAATCCTCTAAATTTTCTGCACGTGAAAAAGGTTCCACACAGCCTTCTGATCTTCAGATGGGAGAGAAACCATATACATGCACAGACTGTGGGAAAAACTTCAGCTTTAGGTCCAGCCTTGTACGTCATCAGAGACTCCACACTGGAGAGAAGCCTTATAAATGTTTAGACTGTGGGAAGAATTTCAGTCAGAGTTCAAATCTTCTTAATCATCAGAGAATTCACACAGGGGAGAAACCATACAGCTGCTCAGACTGTGGGAAATCCTTCAGTAACAGTTCAAGCTTAGCATCTCATGAAAGAACCCACAGAGGAGAGAAACCTTATAAGTGCTCTAGCTGTGGGAAGAACTTCAGCTGTAACTCAGTTCTTAGAATCCATGAAAGAATTCACACAGGTGAGAAGCCTTATGAATGTCTGGAGTGTGGGAAAAGCTTCAGTCGGAGGGAATTTCTCATTGGGCATCAGAGAACTCATACAGGTGAGAAACCATATGAGTGTACAGAATGTGGGAAAAGCTTCAGCCAGAGATCAAACCTTATTAATCATCAGAGAATCCACACTGGAGAGAAGCCATTTGAATGCTCAGACTGTGGGAAAAGATTCAGTCATAAAGCATCACTCCTTAAACATGAGAGAAACCATGTGCATGGCTCCAAAATGGGAATGGATTCAAGTGTTCAGCCTTCTTTGCAAGTGACAGACAAAGAACACACATAGGAGACGAAACCGCTTCTGTGCAGACGGCTTCCCTTCAAGTATTCTCAGCTAACAGAAAATCCACACACAGGAGGAAAACATAGATCATACGAACTGCTTCAGCTTCAGGCTAACCCTTTGATTAACCTTAAAAGATCTATAAGGAAGAAAAACAACTGTGGGGAATAGAAGGCATCTCTGCTGATAGGCTGTACTTCTTAACTCCTTATCTTATGCTCAGGTGTGAGTAGGTGTTGCTTATTAAGCCAAGATAACACCAGCAAAAATAGCACCACCTGTGCGCAAGAGGGAGGCAACAGCAGATCTGGAGAAATTGCTGCTTGCAGAATTATTAAAAAAATCATAAGGAAAAAAAATATTCCCGGAGGGTGGGGAGACTCCAAAACACCCAATAAGCATAATGGTGCTTTTTGGCCACCAAATGCTTACTGCCTGGTGGTGGAAAAAATGGAAAGCTGAAAATGCAATACAATGCAATGCAGTGCAATGCAATGCAATGCAATGGACCGAAACACCAAGCTGGAGTACTTGATGCTGCAACATCTTGCTGCCAGCCTGACTCGTTTTCTTTAAAAGTAATTCGTTGCCTTTCAAATCTTCTGAAGTGCCCAACTTGCCAATTTCTGGCCTGGTACTCCCAGTTCCTTGTGCCCTCTGTCGCCTCTGTACTGATGGCATTGCTACATATGATCCAGATCAATTCTGCTCTGTAAGGCTAAGCTTCTCCCCACCCAGCGCCCTCCGTGTTTCATGCGGCTGTTGAGACCACAGTGGTGAAGAAGGCTGGCCCCCAAGCAGAACCTGATGTGTGGGGCTGTGCTCCCCCATGAGGCTCTCTGGGGGCCAGATGATGTCAGGGGTGTGGCCACACCTGCTGATGGCACTTTTTCTCTTCTGAGAGGGGCCCAGACGAGATGAGCATGGAGATAGGGACTCGGCCAGCCCTGGGAGGAACAGCTGCAGTTCCGAGAGAGCACTGGGGATTCCTCCACGGAGGAATCCAGGGAGGCCGTGGGATGGATACAGAACTGCAGGGAAAGAGCTTGGCCTGGCCTTCCAGGTCTCACTTTTCCAAGCAGTCTGCCCTCGCCCCTTGCCTGGATGTGCATGGGCAAGCGAGACCAGAGTGACTGGTAGAAGAGAAAGACGGTTGTACCGGGGCACTATAGAAGTCGCATCCCACATATCCACCGTGTAGAATTGCTGGTGTAGCAAGTTTATTATGTTCTGTGTTCATCTTGCCATTCTTCCGGGGCGGCTCTCCTTCACGCCCCTCCCCATTTTATCCTCACAACAACCCTGTGGGGCAGGTTAGGCTGGAAGAGAGAACAACTAGCCAAGATCCACTCCCGAGTCTGATGGTGAGGAAATCCTGCTTTAAACTTGGCTTCTGCCAGCAAGGGCACAATTCAACGCATGTTTAGACAGAAAAAAAGCATGCATAGGATTTTCTGTCTAAATATCCATAAGAATGCACCTAAGTGGCCTTAAGGTATTTCATCATACCCCAATAGCAGAAATAACAATACTGGCCTACCTTGCAGGGTTGTAAGGTTGATTGAGATACTGGCCTGGTTCAGACAGTCATGGGGAAAAGGAGCCAAAGTGGCTTCCTTTCCCTGCCCTGAATGTGCTGGGTGCACATGGTGCAATTTATCTCCCCATGTGCAAGTTGGCATGCCATCCAAACCTGGTGAAGTGTGCAGCATGCTGTGATTGGAGGCTGCCCCCGAATCCATGGCTTATTTTAGAGTTCTGGCGTAGTTTTGAAGCCACCCTACCCTGCAAACCTTGCCGGGCTTGAAGAATATGGGCAAGGTTTGGAAAGCCATGAGGGTAGTTGGACAAACACATGCAGCCCGGGGCACAGAGTTGCCACGGATTCTTTCCTCCGTGATCCGCTGAACCCGGCCACTGTGTGTGAAGGGCTTTGGACACTAAAGCATAGCATGAAAGCCAATGTGAACCTTTTCTGTTAACCTCGTGGTCCCTTTGCAGGTCGTCCTTGTACATACATAGAGCAAAAGAATTAAGAGTACAGCAGGCTTTGTAAAGTCGTTGAGCAAAGCACACAGTGACCCAAAGCACTTTGAAATGTGAAATAAGAGTGCTAAAATATTCTAGGCTGACTGTGTATCTCTGACCAGGCCATTTAAGCGTAGGCTGTGCAGGATATCGAACTTAAAGCCTAGAAAAGGTAAGCTTGCATTTAAGCCAGTTTCTAGCCCTTCAGGGGTTTGAAAGTATGTAAGTAGGTCATACTGGGTGAAAGTTGTGGAGAGACTGCCAGTATTTGGGGGTGGAATTTCAGTAACTCTTTGTCCCATCTCTGGACAACTAGAGATGGAATAAATTATTCCGAAAAGCAATATTGACAAGCTTTAATTGGGTTCACTGTGTAATAAATCAGCTGAAAATTTTCTTAGTTTATCACTAGGCAGAGCCAGTATTGATTGGTGAAGGGCAAATTTAAATCAGTAGGCTAATAGTTAGACACACATTCAATTTTTTCTGAAACAGTTTTGATTCTGATGTGTTACTGTAACAGTGAGTGGAAAAGAACATATTAAAGTGGAAAAGATAATAATGAACAGTAGCTTTTCTTTATTAAATTGTTTATTTTTGGCATTTCCAAAAGGCAGCTAAATATTTTTCAAATTTTATATATAATGTATATATTATCAAAGTGATACGCTAAAATGCTTGGTTGACCACAAATTCTCTTATCTGGTTGACAGCTCTAACATTAACGAAGATACTTGGCTTAAATTCTGCCCATATTTTACAGAGAAAGGAAAAAGAGGAGGAGGAAGGCACCAATGACAAAACCTAAAGGAGATACAAGGTCTCAAAGCTGCAGAGGAATAAAGATGCAATAGCCCTACATGTGTGGAGATTTCTTTCTTATTAGCACTTTAGATGAACAATATCATATGGCTGATTTGGATGCATATTTGCATTTTGCATTGTCCTTGTGTTTAGGTTTGCATTGTGTGTTGTACACATTCTTAGTTACTTCCCCATCATCTGGTCACATTCCAGCAAGACCAACAAAGACAATCCATTAGCACAATTAAGAGGCAGTTCAAATCTTTCTTTCTCCAGATGGGCGAGCCAGAAAAAATAGCTACTGACTAGTCTCTTGCACTGAGATTCTCTCATTCAGCTTCTCAAGTAGGTTCCAATAAGAGGGCATCCAAAATTAAATCGGGAGCATGTGCTTTTCTGTTTAGTTTATAAAGTTTGCTAGTCTAAAAAAACTAGATTGGTTCTCTGTTATACTCCCATATTTGCTTTTAAGCTGGAAACTCAAATTTGCTATAAGTAGGGAAATCTCTTGGAGAATGTGAAAAACTTGAAAAAGTATGAGACTTTGCAAAAAGCAAAGATGTTGGCTAAAATAAAAAATCCAGAATTCACGGTTGGGCAATGTTGTTACTTGTTGTTGCTAGTCTCGAAGTCGTGTCCAACCCATCGCGACCCCATGGACAACAGTCCTCCAGGCCTTCCTGTCCTCCACCATCCCCCGGAGTCCACCTAAGCTCACACCGACTGCTTCAGTGACTCCATCCAGCCACCTCATCCTCTGCCGTCCCCTCCTTCTTTTGCCATCAATTCTTCCCAGCATTAGGCTCTTCTCCAGGGAGTCCTTCCTTCTCATTAGGTGGCCAAAGTATTTGAGCTTCATCTTCAGGATCTGGCCTTCTAAAGAGCAGTCAGGGTTGATCTCCTCTAGGACTGACCGGTTTGGTTGCCTTGTGGTCCAGGGGACTCGCAGGAGTCTCCTCCAGCACCACAATTCAAAGGCCTCGATTCTTCGGCGCTCAGCCTTCCTTATGGTCCAGCTTTCACAGCCATACATTGCAACTGGGAAAACCATAGCCTTGACTATACCACTTTTGTCAGCAGGGCGATGTTACCTATGTTAGAATTTACTGACAAGAGTAAAGAACAAAAGACAAAACCCAATGAAAGTCTTCTGGCGATGTACAATAGGAAGATTTACAGTTTATTCAGATGTACAGGAACTACATGCGGCAGGTAGGCAGCCTCCATAGAGACTACAAAGATGGAGTTTGTCCAAGATGTTTTTATAACCTATCAGTTACATACATGGCTTGGAGGAAGGTTGAGGGTTCAGGTTTGCTAGAGGCACCTTAGAGTAAAACAATAGGGATTAAGACAATACAAAAAGAACCTTCAGAAAATTCAGAGTGTACCTCCAAAGGGACGGGCCCATTGGCATTTCTTAGGTGTAAATGGGAAGTAATACATGCATACATATTAAGGAAAACAGAAAAAAAGTTGGCTTGATACTAAAGGCTCAAACTACCTGCATTTCTTTTTTTTAAAGAAGTTTTATTATTTCCTACAAGCTAAAAAAACTAAAAACTAAAAACATGAATCATCAAAGACATCAGACCTACTGGGTCAGCCCCCCATTTTTTTTTAAAGCAATCCGTAGACATTCAGATCTACGCATAGTCCCGTTTCTCTAGCCAATAACAAAAAGAGTTCCAAGTTTGATAGACGTATGTATCCTCTTTCTCCTTTGGAGACAAAGTCAGCCTATCCATTTCAGCACAGTCCAGAATCTTTTTTAAAATCAGATCATCAGTAGGTGGGTCTTCACTCCTCCAATGTTGGGCCAATACAATCCTTGCCGCAGTAATTACATGTAGAATCAAATATGTTGCCTGTTTGTCAACATCATCAGACACAATGCCTAATAAAAAGACTTCAGGTTTAAATATTAAAGATTTTTGTAACATTTCTTCAAGCCATTTATGTATTTTAGCCCAATATTTTTTGCCTTATCACAAGTTCACCCCATACGATAAAAAGTACCAGGTTTATGTTTGCATTTCCAACATATTTGGAAACATT